AGGAAAAGGAAGGGAATGAACGGAAGGGAACGAGTGGAAGGGAACGAACGAAAAGGAAGGTCGAAGAGGAGGATGGAGGGGAGGGTAGGGAAGGAGGGAACGGAAGGGAACGAACAAAAGGGAGGGAAAAGGAAAGAAAGGGAGGGAGGGATGTTATGACACTCTTGTTAAGCACAGTACCTTTTTAAGGACCATGTCTGAACGTTTTTATTCTTGTTTTATATCACCTGTAGTTGTAGCAAAATGAAGTTTTACAAGATCATGTGTGGACTTTAGGTCACCAAATTTTGCCGAGAGGTTCTTTGTCATTACTTTTCAAACCAATTCGTTGTGCCTGGCTTTCTGTTTGTTTTCTGCCCTAAGAATCACAAGCAATCTTTCTAGTTAGTACTACTGACGTGTGAACAAGCGCAGTAATATTTGTTACCGTCTGTAAATAATTTCAAGCACTTCAAATGTTATTTACATTGATTATGTCTCCATTGGCAAATGCTGAAATTATTGTGTTAACCTATTCCCGGAAATGATAATTTTATTAATTAGGGCTTTTAATGTGTGTTGAATTATAGAGTCATTACCGTGTTTTTCAAATATTTCTTTCAAGTGCTTGTTGAACGTGCTGGAGACGATGAGAACGGCTGTAAACAACAACCAGATGGTGCGAGAGCATCTACGAAAGTCCAAAATAAGGCTGAAGATCGAGAGGTGAGAGTTTATAACTCTTGCAGGGTCTACCAAATTTCCACTGCTTTCTTATTTAAAATTGAAGTCTGTAACGTGAAAATAATATCAAATTATTAATACTATTCACGTTTTGATATTCTGTTTATATTTACATTTTAGATTCCTTTAACTGACATTTTAATGCCTCGAATCTAGGAATACGTTTTCAAATAGAAGAGGAATATTTTCTTCCTGTGTCTACCTTCCATCACTTTGACAAGGATAATCTAAACACAGTCATCTCAAAATGATTTTCAGAATGAACATATTGAGTAGATGGAATAATATATTGTTTCTGTTTGGATTCAAAGCTTTTTTACACGCATTATTTTGGAACTCATCCATGCATCTTTGCTCCGTGTCGTATGAAAAATATTCCACGTGAATTCTAACTTTACAGCGGTATTTGATCTTCTTGGCACTGCAATAAATTTCCATATCATTCCATTACGCATTCCATATACTGAATTCAATTTTTTTTTACAATTGGTCCATCTAAATTCATCTATTGTCAGCATCATGTATAGGCCATTGTCTAATGCCAGTGAAATCAAACGGGCGTGCAGTGATATACTAACAAAGCTCCAGCATTCCTTTGAGATGACTGGATCCGGACAGAAGAAAATCCTAGTTCCTAAGATTGACCCAAACCACAAACTGTCACCATTACTGGAAAAAGACGGCCTTCCAAGGTATGACTTCCCTAATGTATTTAATAAACCTTATCTTAGAAATTGTGTTCTTAAATGTGACGTGACAAAAAAAGCTAGTTTTGGAATTTTTTAATTTTAACTACAGAGCATAAAAAACATCATGAAATGCTTCCAATTGTGCAAAATCGCTAAAATATATCTAAAATCGGGTGAGATATTGCCATTGAAAGATTTAGAGTTTGCTAACGAATCACTGTTATTTTGGCTTTGTCCGTAAAGTTATGATCAGAGACCAAATTACAGAGGTTTGATGGGGAAAGAGCCAATACACATGTAGCCATATATCCGCCAATTCGTAGCAAAATTGACTGATTTTGTACAGTTACATTTTCTTAATGATGCTCTGTCAGGTTATGGGTTCCAAATTCAAAAATTGAAAGTTGATTTTTTTGGCGTCATCACTTTTGAACTTCATTCCATTGCCTTAAACGCTGCATACAATGAGTGAATATAGTTGAGCTTGAGATGTCATTTTCTCGATGCGTTCCATGTAATAGCTATAAAAAAGGCTTAATTCGTGTCTGCTTTATTGTATTCTTTGGTACCGCAAAATTTCAAAACAGCACAGAAAGCAGAAACATGTCATACAGCGGACGAAAAGTACTCTAGTATGACATGTTACTGCTTTTTCGTGCTGTTTTCAAATGTCGTATTGTTATGGCTTTAATATTAACAAGATGTAGTCGAAAACGATTGCTTATCAAGATTATTGATGAAGTTTTATCGATTTTAAGTTGTTGTCACTGATGAGCAAATGCATTTCAGTTTGGTCTATGATTGTATTTACATTCCCTGAATAGTTTTTAATCGCACCACAAATTTCGTAATATATTTCGGTGTTAACGCATTATCTTCCCCTAGCTTGCTTCCCCCTAGTCCCATTCTCTAGATTGTCCTATTTTGCTATTAAAGTTTTCTTATCATAGATTTAATCTACAGTAAAAGCGTTTTTACAGGCTTTCTCCGAAAACTCTTTGGTCACAAAGCAAGAAGTCGATCACTTTATCAATACAGCTCAGGGATGTGCGCAATGAAATAGTGAATATTACTGAGAAAAGACTAAAGTTCAGGTGAGGACATTGTAGTCTTGCTTTTATTATTTACAAATAATTTTGGTGGTACAAAATTTAAACATGGCTTTGAAAAATCATTTACTTTAAGACACACTAAAGCTTTTCATCTGACACTCTTCTGTGTTTAAAGCTTCAGGAAAAAGATCGATAATGTTAAATTAAGAAATATATACCCTATTGTGGATCGAAATAGACCAATCAGAAAGGCGGCCACATGACAGGTAAGGTTGCCGAATCACATTTTCTTGCCAATAGAGAAAATTACCAATGGAGTTCAAGAGTGAAAACGAACTCCTTCATCTACACAATAGGGTTTTTCATTTTTTCGTATATCGATCCGAAAACTGCTCGATGAAACGACAGTCGGGCTCTACTAATTGTCGTAAAAGGACTGTTGCCATTTTTAATTTATAATTTATGTAGAAAGTTTTCGGTTAGTCTTTTGAAGAGGCTGCCTTTTTGTAAGACTTGCAAGAGTTTATCCCATTCAGATTTTTAATAGAACTTTAATTCCTTGAGCGCCTATCAGATTGCAGACTTGAACAAATAAAATGTTTTATAGTTGCAGCGATTCTTATCAGCTTGATTCTTGTCAAGTTTCTTTTCAAATCAGGCCTTTTGGGCAATTATATGCTCATTTTGGCCCCCGACAATTTATATCATGAAGGACATGTTCAGTCGCATTGAAGGGCCCAGTCGCCGAAGCTGTCTTTCAGTAACAATCATTTCCCTCACACTTTAAAACCCACTAGACTATTGCCCTTTAAACGTCGTGTGTTTTAGACATGTTTAGTAGGGGGTTCAGTTGCAGAGAATAACAGTAAGAATGAAAATTTTATTTCATTTACAGCTGTTCTACAACTGGTTCTTTTTACGAATTGGATCTCGAACTCTACGCCGCTGTAGACCCAGAGGTAAGTTTTTATATTCTAATGACATTTTATACAGTTTTTTATAATATCAGCTGGCACGTGCTGTGATTCTGTATTGCAAAATTCATGTTCTAGAGCCACAATGCAAGATTGATTACTTCAGTCCTCTAATGTTTATATTTTTAAACACTCCCCTCTTAACTACTGTCCTCTAACGAAGCATTTTCAAATAGATATGATATGAAATAGCGTTGCTGTATCCAAGAGTTTAGTAAGTAGTGCGAAATAGAATCGCATAAAGTGGCTATCTCAAGTATCCCAACATTTGAACTTCCTTTGTCGAATGAGCTACTCCCTCGTGGCAGTCAAGAGCATTCGCGTCGAACCCAATCCACATTGCGCGTGCTGTTAGACTTTAAGACAGGGGTTGCGTTGAAATTTTTGGTTCTTCGTCTCCCCAGCAAAGAAGCAACAATCGGAAAGAGCTTGGAAGGCTTAGTTGTACTTTCAGATAGATATTGCATTTAGCATTCTCCTTAAAGTGCAAGTGTAGAAATATATTTTAAATCATTATCGAATTTATTTAGGGCAATTATATTAAACAAATTTACTGTTCTATCTTTCACAAGAATGGTCATTGTTTTATGCGAACCAACTAAATGAATTGTCAAGCCAATCAGGCCAATCATCATTGATTATACGAATCACAAGCCTACCAAACCAATCAAATCAGTCGTCATTGTCCATACGAACAAATCAGTAACATTCTTAACCCCACTTAGCCAATCATATCAATATTAATTTTTATAGTGGTTTTTGCGCGATACAAGACGTTAATACTTCATGTCTTTATGCTGTTTAGTTTGAAATTTATTCAAGTCGGTCATTATGACCATAAGCCTTTACTTATTGTAGGAGTCCTTTTGACCATGCATGCTCCGAAAGAAACTGTTACGTTCCATCGTCTTGAAAATCTTATTCCTTTAACAGGTATCTTAACTATACTTTAATTCGCCGTGCTTAGAATAACAAAGATTTGAAAGAAAATTGGAGCAATTTAAGTTAGCCGCTCCCCACACCCTCTTCTCCTTTCCAAAGCTATAATCTAGTTTTTCCTTCGCCCTGTTTGGTAGGCTTGCTATTTGGTTAATCTTTTTTATGCGAAATGTACTTTTATGTGAACGTATTTTCAGTCTCTTTCTTGCAACAGTTCAGTTGGTGTTTCAACTGTTGTTGTTCCTCTTGCACTTGTCCAATATCATGAACACCGGATGCCTCTTTGATAAACTCAGCATCAGAAATCAACTGGTTGTTCCATTGGGAATCTTCAAGAACTTCATGCTCTGTGTATCCTTCACCGAAGATTCTGACTTTGGCGCCACCTACCTCACTTCCGTAAAACTCATTCTTTGCCGCATTGAAGTGTGAAACCTGGCTTATCGTGTTCTGGAAACTGTGCCATGAATTCGATGTTGTGTTGCCATAGTAACATTTTGCCCGACGGCCTACCCACTTGTTTGTGTATTGGCCGCAGAGTGTACGGAGAGTCCCATTTTTTACAACAACACTTGAATAGTTAAGATGTGAATTCTCCTCCTTTTTGTACGAAAACAAAAATCTGTAATTTTGATTCTTTTGTAAAGACGTTCTTTCTATCCCATCGCCCTCAGCGTTAAGACATCTTGGTCTCTTGCAATAGGATATTTCGTCAACAAGAAATTGGCCCTCCATATTTCTTGTCATTTTCCGAAGGATATTGTCGCCATCTATGCCCATTTGAATCACAAGAGAGCGGGAGTCTCTGAGTTGTAATTCTGGGATATGAACTACATGCTGAGAAGGTGATGGTGAAAATGTTGTCTCTCCCAGGTCGCTTTCCGTGCCATTGATACTCAACAGTGACATGTACGGTGGTAGGAAGAGCCTGAGCATTATACTAAAGGCTCTTCGCCTTGTCGTGAAATGGTCATGATCAAGATGTACCGAGAAAGTAACGTTCTCCCCAACGAAATATTGTCGACTACCGACTATTGTCGTATTACATACCAAGTTGGCTGTCTCATTCCCTAGCCACTTAATCTCAATTTGGCGGTCTATGCTCATCAACAACTCGTCCATGTAGTTTACAGAAACGGTCATTGTAGTGTTTTTCGGCATCCCAAGCTGCAGATTCTGGTGGTCATATATGCGGGTTGTTATTCTCACCTCACCGTCGGAAAGCAAATAGTTTCCGAAATTCAGTGTTACAGTGTGCCAACGCTTAGAAAAAAGGTTCGTGGAATTCTTCACCGCTGACGTTTCTACACTGCCCCCGCACTTCATACTTACTTTAGTACTTCGGATATAGAGGAACGAGGACCCATTAGCTACTGGAAAATTTATAGAAATTGATAAAGGGCGTTTTTTAGAAGTATAGAACCCTCTCAGCTGTATTTGGAACTTCATGCGGTTTCCCACCGTTCCTGTCCCGTCGTGGTCCAGATTTAAAAGTGTGACATCCATGTTTTTGTGGCAAGGCGGCGCAGTTCTGACGTCATCGAAAATCGTTCTCGTGGCTGTTCCTTCATCAACAAGTTTTATCTGCGCGCATTTATGTTCGTATGGCGTGACGTCCCACCAGTATCTTGCTGCATGAACTGAGCCATTTGGACCATTGTTAAGCTTATTTGCCCCAGAGGCAGTCATTATTTCCACCCCATCTACAAAAAGCGCAGCATAGTTAGCAGGACGATCACCGCCACCAACCAAAAAGTGAATGACGCCAGTACGTATTTCGAATTCAGGTGACGTCAGAGTTCCCGTAGGCAAGAAGCCAGCAGTTGCTTCGGGGACACTTTCTGGAATGCTGTCGTTTTTGCGAGAGAAGTAGGTATCTATGAGTCTGTCGCCGACTTTGCCCGTCAGAATTCCATCTTGACGCTGACTAACAACCGGCTGGTTTAGAAAGGCAGTGCCTGTTTGGGTCCATTTGGATATGTCATCTTCCTCAAAATCAAATATCGGGCACCCTGTTCCTACTCTGATGTCGTCGTTTAAATCAATGGCAAACTGGATTTTTTTAGTAACAGCAAGGTGCTTCAGCTTTACCTGGTTGTAGTAATGCCTTGCCCACTTCAGTTTGACCATGTCATTGTCATAAACGTTTTCTGCTTTCCAAGCATCGCCCTGCTCGTCAATTACCCATAGAGTGTTTGTGTCTGAGGCTGCTAATCCTGCAACTCCGTTTCGAATTTTCTGCCATTTTAATGGTCTGGACAGCGTTGGAGAGTACCCGCTTGGAATAATTCCCGAAGTAAACAGACTTTTGTCAGGGAAAACTGTGAAACAAACTCTTGTGCTGCATGTCATCTTAGAAACATCTGGCGCTAGAAACTGCCAACCTGTTCCTGCTATTTGACTAGAGGTTATTCCGGTCCGAATATAAGATCCTCCTTCACTGTTATAATGAAAGAGCAATCCTGAACGCCCAAATGCAGCGCCAAGCCCCGAACCATCCATTTGGATCCACGAATCGCCTTGTGGATTCGCTGATGTTATTCCAATACGGACAAACATCTTTTCATTCAGACCTACCACAACCAAGCCATTTTCTTCATTTACCTTCACATCCTGTAATCCTGTCCCGATGCCAGCAGGGTCGGACTCAAGTTCCAAAACGTGCAGAGCGTCATCTTTTGTAATCGTATACAACGCTTTGGTGTTGGCTGCAATGAGTTTGGCCTTACCTCCCTTGTTTAGATATTGCCAAGAATCTAATTCTGCTTTTATAAACACCAGGAACTGGATGAGACTTAATATCAGTTGCTTTTTCATTCCGATTTTGAGTCACAAACGGCTGATTTTGTTTGTCTGGATCCTGATTCTCTCGTTGATGTTTTAATGCTGTTTGGTAGAATCTCTATAACTGAAATAAACATTTAAACAGATCAGGCAGAAATCAGTTTTGTGATTCTCCTGTCTCGTAGCTGTTCATTAATTTGTAACTCTGTCGGTTTTCTGTCTTCTGTGATTGCATTGCCATGGTATCGATACATTTAGCTGAATTTTTTATGATGCCGGGGGACAAGCTAATATTTTGCTCTGGCTTGTGTTTTCAATAAAGCTCAAGTTTAAGCACTGGGCTTTGGATATTTCCTCATTTTTCAGATAGATGTTACGAAGATGTAGCCAGATGTAGCAACCTTTTTGCATTATTCCGAAGAAGGTTTGGTTGACTTCTGTTTGAAAGGCGATAGCAAAAGTCGTTTTTTAATTTTCAAAACTCATTTTGAGTAGCCCTTCCGTATTGGAAATATCAAAAAACGCAAGGAATAGCGAAAATATGTGCATGCTACTGATGTATAAAGCACCGAATAACTGGAATTTATGGTCCACTGGAATTTATACTCAGGTATAGATCAAAATTCACGTCAGTGGAAGAATAGGGCCTTTAATTGGTTCCTTGACCAACCAGCAACTGATAAACTTTCTCGTAGTTCAAGAAAGATAAAAAAATTGTTCTAGCCGCACCAATACTCTATTACCCCGCCTAAAAGCGCATGTCCTTATAAACGAAAATTTACGATTTTGCCTTTCTACAGGGTAAAAAAAACGATTCAGATACAAGGGCATGCTCCTATAAAAATAGAAAATTTTTAACAATAACATTGCACGAGAAATGTCTCAACAATAGAAACAGAATGTTCTAACAGTTGTCAACTTCCTCAGGATCCGAATCGTTATCAATGATAATTAGTTCTTAGTTCAGAACTACACAGTTGTCTTCGTCATCAGGTCAGTTTATACTCAAATGACAATTTAAAGAAATTGATAATGCAAGAAAATTAATCTATGAACAATTTTTTTGCGGTACAGAATTTGAAAATGGCTTTAAAAAAGCAAACATTTTACAACATACTTAAAGCTTTTTCGTCTGACACTCCTCAGAGCATAAAACGTCAGAATAGGTTCCGAAAAAAACACGATGGAAAAATATATACCCAGTTGTGGATCGAAATAGGCCAATCAGAAAAACGCAAGCACAAGACCGGAAAATTAATCTAGGAAGCATGTAAACGCTGTTAAAGAAAGAATAGATAGCCATATCGCTGTTTCTCGTTTTTTTTTCATTTTTCTCGCACAATCGATAAGATTATGATCCACTTATAAGATGTAAGCGCGTGCGTCTTCAAAGGAGTTGCGCCTGTAAGCGGGGAAATAGGGTAGGGATTTTCCTAATGTTGACAGTTTCGTAAACGGAAACAAGAAAAGACGGTCTAAGTTTAAAAATGTCATCACTAAAAGTTTTAGAGCACCAACTATTTTTGTTATAGAATTGAGATCTTTGTAAACTAGCACTACAGTGTCACCATAAGCCCTTCGCAGAATTATCATTGAATTTTATTCTTTTTCCAAATTTTTATTTAAGTATGGCATACACAGGTCACTTTTCTGGACCATTTTTTAACTGAAAAATAGCAATTACTCTCCTAAGCGATTGGAATTGTATCCTCTGGGTCTCATTTTTTACAAGATATCTTAATTTTGTCAAGTTCGTAACCAACTTTAGTTAGATCCTTACGTGCCCTATGAACCAACGTTTGAGCGAAACGAGATTTCCTTTCTTTTGGAGGAATTCCAACGAATATGAGACCAAGTAAAGGTTGGATTTCTGTTGTCGCTAGAAAGAAACCCAGTGTCTTATTTTCCCACACATTATTTATCAGTCAATCCACCTTTCCACCATCAATACAATTCAGCCATCAACAACCTCCTTCAATCCACCTACCAATTTTAGAATTGTTTACAACTTTTGTGGCGATACCCTAAGAATGTTTACCTGCTTTTTATTCATCATCCATATATCCTGCTGCTATGGAAACCCCAATGTTAGTTATTTCGTTAAGGAGGCCGTCGAGTCTTAAAGACTCATTTCGTTAAGACTCATGCATACTTCTCTTCATTTCAGCAGTACGCCCCACATGCATTGCCACTGACAGCCTTGCTAATAGCCTACATCACACAGCAATATGTCACATACAGTCTAGCTGTGCTGTTAATTATGCTTTAGTTTATTTAGTTAATTATGCGTTGTTTCGTTTATTGCATTCATTTTTCATTTTCACAATTTTTCCCCACGAATCCTAATCTGTTTTTAATTTACAAAATATACTTTGTCAAAAAACTGGGAAAAGCATCTACATCATATTGCTATTTAAACAAGTTATAATTAATGTGCTGCTCTTCATAGGAATCGTTCTTCAGGGTAAATGCTAGTGTAACGAAAGTTTCTTTTTATATTCAAAAAATGTTGGACGGTTCTTTTTTTAAGGTTTCTCATTCCGCATATCTCATTCCATAGTTTTGCACTGGAGTGGAGAAACTATTTTTACAAATCCCGCTGAGTTGGTGGTGAATTTTCAATGGAAACTGCTTGCTGTGGATAGTTTTTGTAGGCCTCAGACAGACAAATATGGAACACCGCAATACGCCGAGAATAAACAACAATAAATATACGTAAATCAGTAAAGGCTAATATTTCACCCCGGCATAAGGGGGTTCATCAGAGCAAAAGGTTCATCATTTATAGGTTGTTGGGGTTGTGGGAGAGCCAATAGACCGGATGAACGGTTGGCCTAAGTCAAATTTCAACTGCCATACCGTTTTTCAACACCGTTTTGTTGTACATGCAATGATTAGTCAAAACTAGAAAAAATAATCATGTGATAAGCTTTCTTTTGAAGCAACAATCAAGTGAATCTAAATTTTCACCTAAATTTGTTACACTATTTTCGTCTGCTTATTTGTTTAGGGAAGAGTTTTCGAAGCCATGAAATATGAATAGCAGTGGCCTGAGTCGCGATCCCTTCGGTATTCCGCACTGAATCGTTTTGCGACGCGATTTTTCGATTTTTCAGTATTGTTCTCCTCTCGTTAGAACAATGAGAACAACCGACAAAGACTCAAACAATGCTGCAAAGACCTAGTTTTGACGCAAGCAGGTTTAAGGTCCACCAAATCAAATGCTTTTGTATTTATCTTTCTTTTACCGATATTTGTGAACCATGGCTCCGCAAACTGAGCAATTACGTGACTCTGCTCTGAAGTTGCCTAAAGCTGAGAAAATTGACTATTTTTTCCTGAACGTTGAATCTTGATCCTCAAAAATTTTCGCAAACAACTTTGATAGCATTGATAGTACCTAAATTTTTCTTAAGTTACATCATTCAGATTTTTGGTCTGACTTGAATATTCGAAATACCATGTGCGCTCCTTCTCGGGGAGTTGTATTTTTGCATGTGGCTCAACTATGGTTCAGCGGCATCTTTTTCGTCATGCCTTTAGAACATTTTAGTATATTGATCTCCTTCTTGACAAGATCCGTTTCCGCTTTTTAAAATTAAATATCGGGTATATCAAGAGGACCTCTTGCACTTAAGTCCTGTAACGGATCATCTATTGGCTGCTTTTTTGATTTGCTGGCTAGTTTTGGACCTATTGTAACAAAATGATCGTCAGGCCCGTAGATAGCTAAACTGGATTGGGGGGGGGCATGGATAGAAATAGCTTTTTCTATTCCTGCCTTACGAAATACTGTCAGATCAAGCTGCGCTTATAAGATCTTCAAACACAATTCTCACAAATTATTGGAGGGGGCATTGCCCCCCTAACTCCCCAATGTCTTCGGGCCTGATGATCGTTGAATTCTTCTGAAATTGCAATCGGCGCTTCTATGTTTTGGCACATTGTACGTTACAGGGGACTTTTTTTAGAAATGTTGGTGGCTTCATCGATCAAATCTTCGTGATAGGTCTCAACTGATTTACGCAGTTCACTACCGAATTTATTCGGCTCTTAGCCACCCTTGATTATAAGCCGCCCTCGATTACAAGCCGCAGCAATATGGGTTCGCAAAGGATTGTAGGACGCCTTTGATTACAGTCGCATCCACATTTATCGTTTTCCTGTTTTGGAATATAACTGGCTTTTATTTTAATTTCAATTATGATGCCCAACCTCATGATGAAGCATCTAGATTTTAAGACTCGTATTTTCATTATGTTATATGATTTATCGCATTTTCATTATGTTGTAAATTGGGTTAAAATGTAGCTTCTGGTTTAGTATCACATCAGGTGTTTCCACAATGTTCTGTTTTAGATTCTTTTATGTTTGATCCTTTTATGATGTAGTATTTGTAGCTGTAGCCATATAAGTAGTGCTAGCCTCAGCGATTGTGACAGTGGTTGTGGTAGTAGTGGCAATGCTATGGTGCCCATTCGTTTATAGGTAAATCTAATGCTAACATTGAATTACTAGTTTAGTAGCTTTTATGCAACGTTATCTCATTGTTTGAATATCGACAGTAAAAAAAATCATATCTCTTGAAACAGCGGAGCCATTGGCGAATCCTTGGTGGGGAAGTCCTTGTGACTCTCGTAAAGGCTGAAGAATTATCTTGGCCAAGATTGTTGTTATCGTCTCTCAAGGTAATCAGAGAACACAACTTGTTCTTACTTTCTAAGCTATTTTGTTCTCTTAGCCATTCTTGACAAATCTTGATAAAAATGCCTCAATCTGACAAATATATCTTGTAATGATGCTTGATTTGGACGGCAGCTTTTTGGCTCAGAGCATTTGTGCGTTTGATTTTGACCTCTTCTAAACCCTTTTATTCTCATTTCGTAGCCTCCATACCTTCATATTGATTTCTCAAGATGGCAAGCCGATGGGGAGGAGCGACACGGTTTCTGTAAATTGGCCTTGCAAGCCTTATCTTCATCTTTTAGAGAATCTGTTATTTGTTTTTCACACTGCATTCTACGAAATTGTTCAAACCTGCGACCTTGTTAAAAATAATTTCTCGCTTGACAAAGTAGATGAAGTATCTCGTTATTCAGAATGGTTGCTTGATCTCTTTAGAAACCAATCTATTCCTTTTAAACCCAGTCTTTTCCCCTTAAAAATTATAAGATATATTGGTAATATTTCTATAGATTTAGCAACCGTGGAAACTGGAGGTGATAAGAACTTTTGCTTACCAAAACCACAGCTCTTTGAATCGCCTTTCATCATCTACAAATGTATTTCTTTCATATTGGATATGAATATTTCTTCATTTGACGTGAATTTGATCCTAGTCGTGACACTGTTAGATCTTTCGGATTGGCTGTATCAGTTTTATTTGGGCAAGCGTAGTATTGAAAATCTTTCAATTCAGCAGCCAGGTCTAGTTCCTATAATTACCCCATTAGTCAAGTGTTTTGTATTTACGGATGATTCTAAGGTCACCTTACCAAATCATTTATCAAAGGCAGATATCGACAGATATAAAAGAAGCCATCTGCCAAGCAAAATTAACCAATCAATAAGCGAGTGAGTGGAATCACACTCAGTGATTGGTCAATTTTTTGTTCAAAGCTGAATAAAGCCCCTTTAGTATCTGTTGATTGCCTTTGAAGTTTCTTGTATCAAAATTCAGGACCTTAGCCTATTATGCATGCAGCACTCTATTTTGTCTGAATTTTCCCCTTAGTGCCCGAAAGCCTTCTAACAAAGCAAGATGGGTCGTCCAATTTGACAGGGTGCGTTCCTGATTCGTATTACAGTGACACAGATTCGTCAGACGATGAGGATAGCAGTGATGAAACGATTTATGACGACTTCGGTTCCCTGCAATGATAATCTTTTGCACTGTGTATATAGTCACATTCATGCAGCCAGCTAGCGACCAACCATGGTACGTAAGAAAATATGTGCGTCTGGGAAACAGTAATTTTCATTGCCAAGTGCAAGTGAATGAGTAACTAAAGGCTGCATTCAGCTGTAAAGAGAGAAAACCCTCGTATATGTTGATATTGTCCAAGCAATCTCTTTTCGGATGCTAGAAATGCTCAGTTGCGAGCCCAAGCGTCGAATTTGCCGTACAGAGATGGAACGCTTGTTCTACATTTATGATTTCCAATAACAGTATTTGCTTTGATGAAAAATCGAACCAGTGAGTGAATCATTTAGCTAGACTTACTACATTTCAAGATATCCAAAGCATGCATTTTATATATGTTTTCTATCGAATTTATACACATCTTTTCGCAAAATTTAAATTCTCGTTCAAGAAAGTCAGAAGCAGATTGGAAGAGGCTGAAATTTGCGATTTTACGCTCTATCAACTTTGAGAATTGGAGACGAGGCAGCCTCATTTCCAAAAATCCAAGATTCCCCTTACATAAATGCTGTAACGTTTACGTCTTTTTATGTATTCTGGAAAAATTTTTGATAGAATTTGTAATATATGTAAACGTGCATAGATTATTTGTTTTTGGTAATCATAGATTGTTTTGTTCGCTTTGTTTTATATTTATATGACTGATTCTGCAGTAATTACTAAACAAGCTTGGGTGAATGATTGAAGGCTCCTTAAGTGATTCGCTTTGCCTATACAATGCAGTTGCTTTTAAGATATGCTTATTTACTTACTTCGCACAGTCATCCATCCCTCTTGAAATTTGACTGACAAAAGCAGGAAAAAGTGCCCTCGATTTAAGTTCTATCTTATTTACAGCTAAGCAACAAAAATGGGTCATAATTTTCGGAGCCCCTCTAAGCTCAAAGTCTGGTGCAGCCTACCCGTCCTGCCTTCTGCCCAAAAATCCACCTTTTTCATATCGGTGAGCCCAGGATCTTTCCTTTCTTTCTCAAGCTTGTTGTAAAAGCAGTTTGGATTAAAGGAGTTTGTATCTGTTCAATGATTACGGAGTTTGTGCATTGTTTACAGCAGTAATTTTTGTAACATATACTGTGTTGGAATATAAATCTGTTGTATTTTCGTTATAAATACCAATTATGTTGTCTTTGCCAATAAATTGATCACTTATCAAAGAGTCTAGCTGAGTTAGTCTGGCTGGATTTCGAGACTTGGAGTCTTTTATTTTGCTTTTTCTTTGTTTTCATTTTTCATCACAGCTAGCGCCGTCGCCTCCAAAATGGAGTGAAAACTGAAGTTAAGATATTTTCATATGATGTTATAAATTGTTGAGATTTCGTTTTCTAATGTTTCATTACTAATATTAACCTTTTCTAACTGATTAATCAACCAAGCCCAAGCGGTTGTCCGTAATGAGCCTCTGAAAGCTTTTGGTTCATTGTGAAGTAGTTCAAATTGGGAAAATATTAGCTACCTCACTCTTTTTCTAACCCCTTTTCTTCTTCTTTTTTTCTCCTAATTCTACTTCTCCTCACTCTACTCCTCATCCCTCTACTTCCCCTCCTTCATCTACTTCTTGTTATCCATCCTGTTTCCATCGTCGAGTTTCCATTCTATTTTTTTACTTCAAGTTTTTTTTCTCAAATTGCATTTCTTATTCTCCTTATTCTCTCGTTTTTCCACTTCTTTGCCCTCTTTTCCTTGTTCTGTCTCTTCTTTGTTTTATTCTTTGTTCACCTTCATCTTCACTTTTTTGTTCTTCGTAATCCTCTTTTCTTCTTCGTAATTAAAAATTAAATGAAAATGAAAAAATGAAAATGAAAGACTATAACATTCTCGTTTTTCTTCGTGTTTCTATTATCCCTCTCCCGGTGTTTCTGTTATCCCTCTCCCGGTGTTTCTATTATCCCTCTCCCGGTGTTTCTATTATCCCTCTCCTGCCTCTTCCCCCTCTTCTCCTTTTTCTTTCTCTTCTCTGTTTCACGCTTTCTTCACCTTCATCTTTACCTTTTTCTTCTTCGCAATCCTCTTTTTTTCTCTCCTTGACAGCCACCCTCCCCCCCCCCTATTCTCTTTCCATTTCTCTATTGCTTCTTCCCCCTCATGTTTCTTCGTGTTTCTATTATCCCTCTCCCGGTGTTTCTATTATCCCTCTCCTGCCTCTTCCCCCTCTTCTCCTTTTTCTTTCTCTTCTCTGTTTCACGCTTTCTTCACCTTCATCTTTACCTTTTTCTTCTTCGCAATCCTCTTTTTTTCTCTCCTTGACAGCCACCCCCCCTATTCTCTTTCCATTTCTCTATTGCTTCTTCCCCCTCATGTTTCTTCGTGTTTCTATTATCCCTCTCCCGGTGTTTCTATTATCCCCCTCCTGCCTCTTCCCCCTCTTCTCCTTTTTCTTTCTCTTCTCTGTTTCACGCTTTCTTCACCTTCATCTTTACCTTTTTCTTCTTCGCAATCCTCTTTTTTTCTCTCCTTGACAGCCACCTTCACACCCACCCCCCTATTCTCCTCCCATTTCTCTATTGCTTCTTCTGCTTCTTATTCTTCCTTGTGTGTTTGTTATCCTTCTTCTCCTGCCTCTTCCAGCAAAATGTAGAGCCTTTGTTGTTATCAGGCACGATCGATCAAAATTTGTAATACATTTCGATTTGGGCGCAGAATGTGGGTTTGCATCCTAAGCAAAACATGTTCGCCTATGGCTAGGAATGCGATTTAACCACAATTCTGAAACCACAAAACTCCACTATCAAATTCGTCAACCTGGCAATGATTGCACTTGGAATCATAGGAAATTCATCTGACTCTTTTAGCATTGGAACTGACAAGCCAATTGTATGCTACCTGACAATAGTGAGGTGTATACGGCTAACAAATACAGTAGCTACAATGAAAGACCAATTTAGGCCAACTAAAAAAATGCTTTATGCATACAGTAAATTGTTTTAAATTGGACGTCAAACTAATTACAGGCGATCAAAAGTTTTGGAAAACTGTCAGACCCACTTCTTATTCTTTTGGGTCAAGCCATGCGCACCTATGCGATGCTCCGAAGGCGCGAAACCCCACTGTCTAGACCCACAACTCTTGAGCTGATGAATAAATTGTTTTGTCTGGCAATAATTGGTTTGTTTGGCAATGTGGCAGTGCTGTGTGGTGCAGCTGCATTTTATTGCAAGGATGTCTGGCTCAGTATAGGTGCTGTCCTGAGCCTAGATAAATGTCTCTAGTCTCTTGACGAAACTGTCGATCCATGAGAGAATTCCCTGTCATTATGGAGGAGAGGGAATGTCTGCACGATGAGCATTCAAGTGACCAAATATCAACAACAGAATATGGGAAAGTTAAGGAACAGCACATTAAAGAATCCGGTAGGTGAATTTAGTTCAATTCCAATATTTTGGTCATAGAAGTAGGTTACTGCTACTTGCATATTAAAAGCCAATTGATTATATTACCGTTTGCTTCTTGACCGAAGCGACGCGTCTCTAAGGAATCAATAAAGTCTGTGTAATTTGTTATTGTAACTTAATTAATTATTGTTTTCTAAAGGGGACACGCAAACTTTCTGATTTGCAGGCAAGAAGGGCTCAGACACGTCCCCCCCCTTCCCCCCCCAGTTCTCAGTAGAATCGATTTTGTATTTCGTCTAAATTCGTTGAGAAAATGTTGAGGGAGCAGTAATTTTTTGACACCATACTTTTTGTGATGTAATCCTATGATTTTCAAACTGCCAATTTTCAAAAAAAAGTTAGTCATAGGCGTTCCCTTCCGATAAAGTTGGCGTTCCCTGTTGGTAAAAGGGCGTTTTCTGGTGGTTAAAAGGGCGTGGCTTAAATTTATTTGGTTTACCTCCCCCCCCCCCAATTGAGCTTCTAAAATTCTTGGTAAATCTTAATTGAGCTTCTAAAATTCTAGAATATTTATTGTAAAACATATTTTATCTATTGATGAATGAATAATAAACAAATGTTTTCTTTCAATGTTGATGCTTGCCCTTATATGTTGCATTTTTTAATTTGTTTCAGTTAAGGAAGATGTACCATCTGGCATACTTGCATATGATTGCTACAATTACTTTAAGAAAAAGCTGTTTCCTCCTCACATCAAGACAGAGTCCAAAGCCTTAATGAAACTAGCATGGGGAACGAGCCTGAATTCATTTCTTTCATTTTTCATCCCAGTCATTTCAGTGCTTATTGTTGGCCACAAGGGAAAGAATTACCTTGCAGCAGTGGGTCTTGGTATATCTGTATGTAATGTGACAGGAAATGTCCTTGTGGTTGGATTGACTTCAGTGACAGAAACATTGTGCTCCCAAGCATATGGTGCTGGACAATACAAGCGATTTGGAGTTGTGATACAAAGATCCCTAATCATCACATTCTTAGCAGTTCTTCCGTCATGTGCCCTGTGGATAAATTTAGACAAGACACTTGTGGTCTTAGGACAAGACAAAGAAGTTGCCTTGTATGTCATCAACAAATTTTGTTAAATATGTAGTCAAGCATGTTCACATAGTATACATAATAAATATAAGTTCAATATATGTAACTTTTTGTGACTTAAAATTACTTGGCCTTTGTGACTCCTTTATTGGAACTGGGTAAATTTGAAATATAGACATTTAGGATATCTTAATTTTTATTTGAATTGAGCTAATGATAATATATCGTGAAAGCTTGTTTGTTAAATTTTTAAATTTTATTTTTAGGCTTGCTAGTTATTTTGGAATATATTACATCCCTGGATTACTGGTGAGGTTATTTTATCTCTATTTTTGTATCGCAAATATATACCAAAAATTGTAATCAGATGTTCCAGTTGCATTGTGCATAAAAAAGTATTTCACAAACTGTTTCAGTGGTTTTGCTTCCGGATCAGTTATATCAGATGTTTGCTTTATATGTTATTGTCTCTTTAAGTGAATGAATTTAGATCATACAATTATAAACATGTTTATTTAAATTGACAGACAATGTTTAATATTTGATTTTTTTTTTAGTTTTACATCCTGTTTAATATACTTACAAGGTACTTGGCTTGCCAGGCAAGTATTTATCAATGTTTTTTCCCATAAAAACTATGACATAAAAGTTTATCCTGCAGCTTTAGTAGAATTTTTATGCAAACTTCAAGTAGGTGGGGGGGGGGGGGTGTACTTCCTGGCCAATGGTAGCAAACATATAGATACCTGTGTAGTATCTAGTTTATGCAACTAATGACTTTATCAAAAGCACATCAAACATGGCAGTTTTTGGCTTGAAATTTGTCCTGTTAGAATTATTTCTCCTTAGTATATTTCAAATGGATTTTTGGATTGCAAAGCCACCTCCCTGCTAATGTCTTGCTTGCTACGAGCTTCCATCAGAGTTTCCTCAGGCTTCACCCTACTCAAGCATAGTTCACCATCTTTCTGGTCCCAGCATGTATGCTGTTACTCAACCCTTTTAAGAGTAGAACAGGTGTGCGTTGACTGAAACCCTTTTCACCGGTAAATGTGCACTGCATGCAGTGGACTCCCACTGACTACAAGAGAGCAACAGGATGCCTGCCCTGCCAGTGGCAGTGTTGCACAGCTCGCCTCTGCCAGCAGATGCACTGGAGCACCAACAACTATAACAATACCCGGCAAACCAGGTGCCTACTTTCGAAAGTGCACAGCTGGCAGTTGTTCACACACTACTACAAGAAGTGTGATGGACCCAAGACCACGCCGTCCAGCAGCAGTCCATTTGTACCCGCAAACTTACTATCTAACCAGGCTACCATCTGAATTTCGCATCATCGTTGCTAACTGCATCCCGTTTCCCCTCCAATGGTTTCACATACTTGTTAACTCTCTTTTCAAAGTTCTTTTCAACTTTCCCTCATGGTACTTGTTTGGTCTCATGGCAATATTTAGCTTTAGATGGAGTCTGCCACCAATTTTGGGCTGCATTCTCAAGCAACCCGACTCATCAAAAGGGCATTACAAATGGTCTGCCCTATTTTGCATGAGATTGTCACCCTCTCTGGTATGCTCTTCCACGCAACTTTGGCAACGTAGAATGGTTTTGTAGACACTTCTCAAGACTACAATTTGCTGTTGCAAGCAACAGAGATTTCCAGCTTGAGCAATTCCTGCTTTACTAGCCTTTACTGAGGGAATCCTTGTTGGCTTCTTTTCCTCAACTTAGTAATATGCTGAATTTCAGCAGGTAGGCTTGTCTGTTCTGAGTTCAAAACAACAAGCAGGCTTGGCTGCATGGCACGCACATACACAACCATGACGGACAACAACCAGACATCATCATCCAAACCCAAGCACACACCGAGTGTAGCAGACGGGTGGTATATTGCTGCTACTGTATTTTGAGTTGACGATGACTGTGTGCGTCTCACCGCCGAGTGTGAATGTGCACAGCTGCTTTGTATTTAAGTGTTAATGTTAATTTCAGGTGGCATCAAATATCCTAATGTAAGAGAAATATCTTATCTAACAGTTTACCCCATGTCCCATCTGATAGTTTTTGGCTAGCATAAAAACCATTTTAGGAGCTGTTATAATTGTGATGGTGACATTTTTTGTTGTTATGTTACAGAACATTGTTTACCCAAGTGTGTATGGCTCACTTCTTGCTTTTGTGGTTAATGGAGTATTCTGCTACCTCTCTGTTTATGTTTGGAACTTCGGAATACAGTAAGTATGTTAGTATCATCCTGCTTCTCTTTGTCAAGTCCTTTTCTTGAAGACATCAAGTCATCAATAGTAAATAAGTACCCTGTACAGACCATGCTGGGAATAAAATGGCAGGCGTGCAATGAATCTGGTGCAATGGTGTGCTATTGCACCAAAGTACTTAATAATATAGTCAGCTGTATATGGACTAGACTACATAACTTTATCATAAGAAAACATAAGACAAGGCTAGAATACATTTTATCAAACAAGCTTTATTAACATTAACAATAACGTAGGTTAATTAATATGTAATCCTGCAGTTTGTAAACCCTTCTGGTCTGCTTCTCCTGACAATCTCGTTCTCAAAATTTAAGAATTCTAACTTTCTTTTCACCATAAAGAAAACTTGTCTGTTGACTAGTGTTAGAAGGAATTGAATGGTTAATTACACGTTTTTATTTTATAAGAAAGCTACAGTAGCTAAATCCTCACAATTCAAAGTCTCTTGGCCACATTTTATCAGTTAAAGTTTCTAAAGAGTTTTGTATTTGCATACAGATAAGAAAAAATGCACATAAAGTAGACTGTATTTAAAGGAATTGTGAGTCCTGAGAAAACGAGATTTTCCTGATCGCACTTGCAAGATACACTGTCTCGTAAACCACAGTGTAATCGGGGTCAAACCATTTAAAGCTTAAAGATCAATAAGCCTGTTTTAATAAACACAGCCTTACATGTGCCATGGGGTTGTAACTACAGTGGAATCCCGATATAACGAACTCTGAAGGGAACCAGAAAATAGTTCGCATATCGGGAGTTTGTTAAACCGAGAGATAACGTTTTTTGGGGTCCTTTCGCAGTTCACGCCTAAAAAACCTGTGGTGGGCTTGTTTAGGCTATCTCCAACCTCTGTGCACTTGTACAGCCATGCATGTACCATTTAACTAAAAAAAATCAATCTGAATTCAAATAATACAACTGGCTGGTCGTTGAAAATGAAAATCTTAATGTTTCTTTTATAACTTGGGACCAAGAGATTGGCAAAGCTGGAATCACTTCGCTCCTATTTGGTGCCTGAAGGATGTCTTCGATTACTTCACATTCTTACTTGTCTTCTTCTGCTTCTCCGTCTGGGTCTCTCAATAAAGTTTGGTCGTCTCTCATTGCCAATGTCTCATATGTAAAAAGGTATTCAGTAGTGTCAATGTACTCATTTGCAGTAATTTCTGACGCAATCAAACTTTCATCTCGTGCACTGAGTCCATCAGCCAGTGCTTGAAATGTATCATCGACATGTTTTGCCGATTATAAAAATAATTTCTCCCCAAGAGAAAGTGATAAATGAACATCGAAAATAATAAATAAACAAAATAACAGATGAAAAATTTATGAAAGTTTGTTACATCGAGGGTAATTATGATGAAGGGACCAAAAAATGGTTCGTGATAACGCGAGTTCGTTATACCTGGGGTTTGTTATACCGAGAGAATTTGTAAGGAGTTTGTTAGGCAGAATCCAAGGGACCAGGCATTTAGTTCGTTATACCGGGAAGTTCGTTATATCCGGGGTTCGATATATCGTGATTCCACTGCAGTTATTGCAAAGGAGACAAGCGACCACAACCGCAAAGCAAGGATTATCGGCTTAAAAGGTCGAGCGATTTTAAGACCTCAACCAAAAACTTTGATAAAGAAATTATGGAAACCTTCGTTTACAGGGGTTTTTCGCCACTTTCAAAACTTCTGTTAGTTTTAAACCTTGTATCATCGTGTGCCTTGAAAGTCAGGCCACTAGAATCTGAAGGAATCGAAAAATGGATGTTTTCATCCAGAAAACGTTTACCATAACTTTAAGCAAATTAGAATATTCGCCAAATTTTCCGTCAAGTAGAAATCAAATAGAAACGATTGCGTGATTATCACCGTTCGTTCATAGTTGAATTATGATAAAAAATTACATTGGGCCATATTGGTCACTTTAGAATAAAGTGTCCAGATTATTTAAGGCGTGCGATAAACTGCACTTCTGAACAATGTGTGCCAAGGCGTGGGCGTGCGATCGCACGCCATTCCCAGCATGGCCTGCTGTATGGGTCCCTGTTTTTTTTGTGATTAGCATAGTTTCATGTACCATATTTTGTCGTGTATAAGACGTATTTTTACACCCTTGATTCCATGTTTGAATTCTGAAAAATAGTTTACCGTGCACAAGACACAACCCCCTTTTCTCAGTTCTTGTAATGCATATGTATTTTAGTCGAAGAATAAATCCATAAAATTATTGTTCACTATCCATTTCATCAACCCTCCAATTAAGAGAATGCGGGGTACATCCCTTCCATCTGGGAGTAAAAAAGCTTTTCTCAGATAAAGATGTCTATCGCGTCTGGAGAATTTCAAAGTTTTTACTAAATTTCTGGTAAAAGTGAGATTATTCAAATTAAGAGAACAGGTGCTCCAAATATCATAATATTTTGGTGATAGATGATATTTTGCCTTGAAAAGGAAATGATGTGACAGCCAATGTTACCATGTATAAGACACAAACAAAGCAAACTTTAATAGTATGTAATTGTTAGTCTATAGAAACTAATAATAGGTAATTATATGTTAGTCTTGAAAGCTCACTAGATTAATAGAAGGTATGATGTGATATTAGAAATTGGAAACATTTTGAAAGAAAGTTTTAATCTGGATCTAAATCCATTAGCATTTGTCTTTAGCATTTTTTTATAGATGACTGGAGGCACATTAGAGATAAGGGCTTGGTAAAAAGGGGAGCTTAGTATCAAATTATATGTTATTATGCATCATAGCTTAAGAATAAATACCTTGAATTGTGAAATGTCTCTTCAAGCAGTAACCTCCTTTTTTCAGGGGTGCTGCCTTTGCTTTGGATTTGTCATATTTTTCTTTCTGTGCCTTCCTTCTCGTTTTCATTTATGTAAAAAAGATGCATAAGAAAACCTGGAATGGTATGTTGCCTACGTTTTATGCAACTTTTGTCACTTACCGCAGGGTTGAGCAACCTACAGCTCGCTGGCCAGAGTCCGGCCAGGGAAGAGAATTTTTAAGCTCATTAAAGGTCATGGGCTATCTGGCCGTTATTAATGTGAATGGAATGATCCTTTTTAATTTTAGTTGGTTTTTTTAGTTTTCCCCTTTTCATTTACAACTGTAACAGTTTTGTCTGTCGTTGCAAGCTATATATGTAAAAGAGGGATTTTTAATTGTAGTGTAATTGAATTTAAACGAAATTTTTTCATTATTATTATTATCATCATTTTATTACAACTATCGTATTCGTTTTTCTTATTACCTTTGACCTGCTTAAAGAAAAGATTTGAAGGAACTGGCCCAGGCTCAAAAAAAGGTTGCCCACCCCTGACTTACGGTATTCAGTAGAATTGTGTAGTTAAGTGCTAGCAAAACCATAACATTTTAAACATTTTTAGAAATCATTCTTTATTTGCTCCCTCTACTATAGATGTGAGTTTGAAATGTCGATGTCACTCTGAAACTTATCAACCAGGCCTTTATGAAGAGTTTTTCACAATGTTGACAAACTGCTCGCATCGATAATCTTACGGCGATATCGCCTGTCCTATAACCTTTTTATAGAGGTAGTCTGAGGCAGTAGCGGCGCTGCGGGGGAGAAGGGGGGGGGGGTAGGTGGACTGAGGGAACGACCCCCCAAGCTCTCAGTAGGATCGATTTTGTATTTCGCCCAAATTCGGTGAGAAAAAAGTTAGGGGGGCGGGTAATGTTTTCGCAATGTATTTTTTTGATGTTATCTTATGCTCTTGTTGTCTTTCTCAGGCTAGATATTTTATTGCAAGAGCCGTAAACAGCCCACGCCAATAATTCAGCAAGGGCAATGGCGAGGGCAATTACATTAAACAAAAGGGACATGTTATTAACCTGCAATATTTTTTAGGATAAACAAGCATATACAATTAGTCCTTGCAAAAAGAGGCGCTCTAGCTCGATCAAACACCTCCACGCACACCTAGAAAGTTCTAGAAGTTTGATTAATGGAGCACCTATTGTGTTTTTGTCTAAAAATTAAATGCAGAAACCAAAAGTTGTTGTTTATGATATTTGGTGATGCTCAACCGAACGCCTAGAAGGTTGAAGTTGTTCAGTTTGTCAATCACCTGGTTTTTTGCTCCTCATAAGGCCTGTATACCATCATTCATTATCATCATTATTATTTTCACTGGTATTGTCACATTTTTCAGATTCATTAATAAGCAATATGATACAACTGAACATCATCATCATCATCATCATCATCATATCAGCCCTTAATGCCAACCCTGGCAGATGGCCTCCACAAATGACTCCACTTTTGGCGATCTTGGGCCTCTTGCATCCATCTCTTTTCATCCAACTAAACATATTACAACTATAGTTGGCACTTAGTTGAGACTTACACAGTCTAATCATTTCAACAACTGTAGTATTGGTGTTGCAGCTACTACTGTAATCGTGAATTGTTGACTGATTGGCACTGTGCTTTTTCAGTATTTTACAACAGTTTGACGATTAAAGCCAATGCTCTCAACCTGTATTTTTCAAATTTTGAATTTTTCATTTAAAACATTGTCTTCAAATCTTTTAGGCTGGTCAAAAGAATGCTTATTTGAATGGAAAGAGTTCATCCTATTTGCTATCCCATCTACTTCTATGACGATAATGGAATGGATTATTTATGAAACAGGCATCATCACAATGGGTGGCTAGCTCTTTGATTTCTGTGTCTATTTGGTGGCTAGTAATCGTTTTTCAGATTTTTTAATAAATTGTGACCATTAGCATTTTTTATTGCTGTATTTAATACAGGAGTATGTTAATTAAGGCAGTTTCATCTATAAGCCTTGAGGTGTACTTTAAATTCTATCTCTTTTGTCTAGTTGTTGCTGGTGTGGAAGGTTTAGGTGTGAATTCATTTTCATTTGAAGGTATTTCATCCAACGTGCTTATACTTCATTGTAGGTATCATTGGAAGCTTGGAGCAGGCTGCCTTAGTTGTATCATTTTACCTTGCTGGGTCGATATATTTTGTGAGTAAAGTGTTTGATTATTTCCTAATCTCTTTCTAATGGAAATGAAACTGAGTCTGATGTTCTTGTACGAGACCTGTCTTAAGTTAATAATATACTTGAGTATCAACTGACATTAGGAACTACAATCGTAGCCGAAAGCTATTGGAATGGCTGGCTAAACTGAGGTATTTTTGCATAAATGCCCTCCCACCCCTACATGTAATGTTGATTACTCATTCTGAATGCCAGAACAGATGTATTGTCTAAATAACCAACATAGGGAAAGGTTTAGTGTCATCATTGGAAGGTAGAATAATACCCTGTTTTAGTTTAAACTTATTTTTGTCTAGTCCAGTAACATTTTGCCACAATTTTAGGTCATGTTTACATGAAGCATTTATATGTGAGATTTTTGTCATGTTTTTCATTTTAAAGGTCATTAAGTTTTTGATTCTCCACTTCACACCCATTCTCTAGGTTCTCTATTTGATAAGTGCTTTTCTTCTATGCTCGTCCAAGTCGAGAAAAAAATGATTTTCAGACGTTTGTTTTTAAGTTTTTTGGTTAGGACTTAAAAATGTGTTTTTTGGCAAGGAGATTGATTAGGAAGAAGTTTTTTGCTAGAGGCTCAACAACTCTGCAATTGGCAATGAAATCTTCTCACTGTTTCCCTGCCTTTTAACATAGTTACTGAATAGCACCGTGACAGCGGATATTGTATTTTAAGTTGGAATTCAGTTTACACATTCAAGGTCAATTGAAATCCAAGGGTTTTCAAAAATTTGCTTTATTTATTTGCATAAACATAATGATTAACACCAAAGAGAAGCAAAAGTGAGCCTCGTCAATAATCAGAAAATTAAAATGACAGCTAAATGAAATCTAGTGTTTTTCGATTATTCGAGTTTCGTTTATTTTGGTAGAAACTTCTGATAGAGACTTGAATAGGCTGGAGAAAGTTCAATATTTTAAAGAGTTATAAAAAGAAGTAGCATCCTGTTTCCAACAATTCCTGCCAAAAGTCATGGTACACTTCATTAAATTTTTGTATGGCTAAAAGCATCCCCCTACTCTCCTCCCAATTTCTATTTTATACAATGCTGAGAGCTTTGATGTTCACCAATTGATTCAGATAAAAAAGTTCTGAATGTTAATGCTATAAACAGGCCATCCTTGAATTTCTGGTCTGCTTTTAGGAATTCATCCATCAATTCTGTATTCTGGATTTCCTAAGCCATTTTTTCAAACTTCTGTCCAATGAAGGCCAGATGTTCAGAACATATTTTCGAGTATAGAAGAGATTTTTGAGAGTGAAAACTTTTTAAATAATTTTGTTGATTTATGTTTTGTTACTTAAGTTTTCATTGAGTCTGTTTTGAAGATTGGCCAATTTTTTTACCCTCTGATTGCTATTCCTCAGGTTTCTTATGGTGTCTCAATTGGTACTGCTGTCAGAGTTGGACATTTTCTTGGAGCAGGAAATCCTCAACTTGCTAGAAATTCCTTAAAAGTTAGCATTATGATAATAGGTAACATGAACGCTTTGTGACGTTTCACTTGAGTGATATGAAATCAATTCTATTTAGCTCCTTGTTACGTGACTTTTTAAGTGTAAAGAATGGCTAACAACGTAGAATAATCGATTAGGTAATGAGTCTATACCGATCAGATTCTTGCTGGTCTACCAACGGTCTAACAAAATTAGAGATAACTCTTGAAAGGAGATATGCAGATAAGTCTAATGTGATATACCAAGACTTTGTAGGTTTTATTAGAGATATTTCCTTAAATCACAACACCTTTCCTTAAATTACAGTAATAAACGACCTTTTGTATCTTATTTTGGGATTTTTGGTATCTTAGTTTCTTCGAGGAAGGTTAAATCAGAATAATTTCCTAAAAAGTTAAGAGGGGTGGCTGTGCTGTAATCAACTTCTAGAAAAGTACTTACATTTGTGTAAAAGATTCAGTTGTATTCATGAAATCATTTAAATTATTTACCGACTCAAAAAGACTGATATGAAATTGCTCTCATTTAACAGAAAATCTATAGCATAATAACGGGTTGCCATTATAGAATTTTTCCAATGCCAATCTGAATTTTAACAAGGGGCTGAGCCCCCGAGCCCCCTTCAAGCACCCTTGCTTACAATCCAGCTGCTTGATATCAATTCAAATAAACGAGGATCGTTCAAGCTAGTCCTGTTTCTCATCTTTAGTGATCCTGATTTTTTGATAAACTGTTCGTTTTGTTTGGTAAGAAATTCTTTCTATTGAGCTCTAATGATCCAACCTTATGCATTAGAATTAACAATCTTCCAAAACAAATAATCCCGAAGAGCCACAGTATTTGTGATGTTGTGATGTATGTCGTCCGGTGAATGGTCATTTTGCTTGCATGCTGAAACACTGAACTTCGTCTATATTTAGATACTGAACTTTTTTTATTTTGTTGAGCGGAGTTGGGAAAAAATGCCAGAAAACATTTTGTAAAATAACTGTGCTAAACCTTGAAAAGCCACAATACATGGAAAAAATGCAGGGTACATGAAATTACTGTAAATCCTCAAATTAGCCCCCTGGGGGCCTTCTTTGTTTTTGATATTTTTAGATGGGGGCTTATTCGAGAGGGGGGCTTATAGAATCATTGTTGACATTAAGAAGACAGTTTTAAAAGACCTCGTTTATTTTAGTAGAAATTTATTTATGAGCATTTAATCAATTACTACCAAAAGTATGAATTTGTTGTGGTAATTCAATAAAACGCCATAGGCGACCTCAGATGGCAAAAATCATCAAAAAGGCTCTTTTTATTTAAATTTTAAGACACGGAATATTAAAATTTTAATATTCCGTGTCTTGAAACATTCGATACTTTTTCGATAGCTATTAAATTATATTCTCTTTTATTTCGTTTAAGTGGTTTTTACAGTTTCGATTGGCTTGCTTCTCGCTGCACTCAAAGACGTGATTGGCTTTGTATTCACAAGCGACCAGTATGTTGTCCTTTATTTCATTCCTCACTGAAATTTATTGTGCCTATAAGCACAACATTTTCTGCAAGATTTGCCTGTTGATATATATTTGTATGTTATGTCTGGAATCGCATCTATTTTAGTACTTTTGGTGACACATCTTGCCATCTTGCTTATTTTAAAAGCATAGAATAAATGTAATACTTCAAATGACTTCTATGGTTAAACAGGCCTAAATTTAAAGGCTTAAAGTATTATTAGACTTAACTGATCTCTCTTTGAAAAACTTTTAGATAAAGCTATAATATGATTTTTTTGTTTCATTACAATGGTAGTGATATTGCCTTCAGCTGCCTCCCATTTTTTACGTATCACTTTCTCCTCAGAAATAGTTACATTTATTTCTGTAAATAGTATTGTCGATTGGACATCATCTAATGAACAAAAGAGCAAAAATGCTAACATAAGGCAATATGAAATTATCTCAGGTTAGAATTACACTGGTTTCGGCAATAAATTTGGTATTTTACACAATATGGCATCTCGAAATAGTTTGTCGCAATTATGAAAAACAGTTATTTTTAGGGGTATAACCAACTTTTTAAACATTTTATACGTGAGTTCTCAGCATACAAATACCCATTTATCATTGGGTTCCTCTCTTCTGTATGAATCTTCGTGTGCCAAAACGAATTACCCTACTGCCTAATTAAACGAATTAAACAAATTCATTTTATTTCATAACTTTTCAACCAAAGATGGTGTTAGGATATATCTTGAATTCAAATTCTTCGCTAGAACTTAAACCGCCCGAAATCACCGTGTTTCAGGCCTGTTAGTGACATCACATGGACGTGTGAAGAGTTCAAAAATCGATTAATATTTGTTCCAGGCTACCGAACAAAAACTGTTAGCAAATAAGGGTAAAATGGTCCTCAGAATATTTTACCAGTCTAACTTCATGTTGTCTTGTAACGTGTGAGAATGAAACTATGCCAGCACAAAGTTTATCTACCCACGACCAATGCAAACTTCCACGCCTGTTGCTTTGGCCGTATAAAAGACACAATGTAATGCTTATTCGAGCACTGCTACAATAAACACAAACTCCACAATCTTGCAATCTGTGCCCAAAGTAGAAAGGCCAAGAGACACCTATCAGGCTTACCCTGTCACATATTAAACGAGATTAAATTTCATTTAATCCAGCTTACAAAGATAAAGAGATGTACCTTGCAGACATAGAAAAGTACCGTCGTAATTATTTGTTTGTGGTATCAAAACCTTTGTCAATTTATTTCTCTTATAGCTGTCTATTTCCTATTGAGTTTTCATTACCTATATTTTGTATCCTATAGATCAGTAGTTGATCTAGTGTCAGACGTGGTTGTTTTAGCTGCTGCCCATCAAATTTTCGATGGAATCCAGGTAACATTTTACAATAACATTGGGTTGAAGGCAGATAAAATGGGCCTGTGTTCATTGATGGGGGGAGGGGAGGTTGAGAGGGGGGTGTAAATGCAGTATTATTTCGAGTTGTAGAGCGCCATATGCAAAATGGTTTTGACTAACGGTGTAATTATTGTATAGCATTTATTGGTACCGCTAGGTTTGTTTGTTAACGTGTAGCATCAATTGCCATTGAAAACAGGAACAATAGACTGTATGACAAGAAACCTCCTTTTTCTGTCTACCTTTGCTTTTGCCCATCAACAATGCCAGTCGAAATCAGTTTCTTGCTCCCCGCCGCCCTCTCCTCGAACAGTTACCAAGGAACGATATTATATTGTATGGTTTCGAGTTATTCGTATGACGTCATCCTTTTTTCTATTTCAACTTGAAAGCAGAAAAGGATTTTTCAATGTAACCAACGCTAAATATGAAATGAATTTGAGGGTTTAGAAACATTTCCAATTGATAAAGCCAAGCATTTTAACTTGAAACTTTGATACTGGATCAGCTTCCTTCATTTAGTGCGCGTCGTCATTTATCCTGAAGGATTCTGTCCATGTAGTTCATTGATACTAATCGCAAACGTGTCTGCATTCGTACTTGTGCTGATCTGCCTGGCCTTTAAATGATCATACCAGATATAATATCCATTAATATTTTATGCTAATAAGCTCCAATATTTTTTATAGATAATATGTATCGGAGCTATTCGTAGTATTGGATACCAAAAGTATGGTGCAGTGATCATACCAGAAATAATATTCATTAATATTTTATGCTAATAAACTCCAATATTTTTTATAGATAATATGTATCGGAGCTATTCGTGGTATTGGATACCAAAAATATGGTGCAGTGATCAATTTCATTGGCTACATGTGCATTGGAATACCGTTGTTTCTTCTGCTGATTTTCAAAGCCAATTTAAAAGTCTTTGGTAATGAAAAATGTTTTATTTTGCATTAAACGTTGCCAGAATTAGGCGTATGGTCAGTTAAAGCGGGTTAAAAGCATGTGTCTCAAGTTAACGGCAATTTTATGCTAACAGCAAAATTTGTGATGTCAAGGTAACTGTTTTTTTTTTATTTTTTTTACATGGGTTTGTGAAGTGGATAGAATTTATTGATGGTTGTGAGCTGCCATGGATTCTTGGTCGCTCAATATTCGTATCGTTGTGAAACCAATACTAGATGTTGCAAATGGAACTATGTATTAGTTGTTATAGATTTATTTTCCATCAAGCTTTGATTTAAGGTCATGTTTTGAATGTATTTAATTTTTGAATTTTGGCGTAATGAACACATACTGTTAATGCAACTAAGCTAGAAAAGTGTTCCCTGACAGGGCCGCGGAGAGGTACAAAAATGCCTCAGTCCTAAGAAGTACCCCCGTTCAAACTTTTGCCTCTTTGAGGCGCGTTGCCTCCGCCAATTTTGACCAATTTGGTTTAGAAAAAGAGGTTGCAGCAGTTCCCCCCAGACCCACAAAAATATATTTCATTTTTGTAATTGTAGGATTTTGGCTGGGAGTTGTGATTGCTGTTATTTTGCAAGTGAGGCCAAATTGATTTAAATATCTTTGGTGTTTTGCTTTCTCGATGCTTATACAATCTAATTACAAAAAAATCTTTCTCTGGCCAAGAGAGCTTTACCTATAGATCATCAAAAATAGTTCTTTAAAAAGAAAAACACTATTGGAAACTTAAGATTTAGAAACTATTCGATGAGTTTATTTACATGCATGTATTGTTTGCTTTATACAAATGCTTTTTCTTTGCCAAATAAGGACCCTCCCAAGTATATTTCTACTCGGTTCTCGCATCTATGCTTCTGAAAAGGCAAGGCAAACAATTCACCCTCATAATACACTGCCTCATTCATTGGCTTATGAAAAATTGTTCCAGTATGTTCTCATACTAGTTTGGTAATAAAGGATCTAGATGTCGATATTGCTCAGATTTTAGTCTCTTGTGAGATATCTAAAGAGTTTAACCATCTCTTGATCTTTCTGGCTTATCCTTAAAGGCCAATGTTGAAAAAACGTACTGAAGTTTTATTGCTGAAGAAACCACTCCTAATCATGTACTTTGTTGGTTTTTTTAAATAACACTAACGTATCTATATTTAATATTTTATTTTCCTTCTTCAGATTTTGGGCCTTGGCATTCTGCTTTATAAAGCTGATTGGTCGGAGCTTTCGAGATTAGTAAGTCCTATATCTCTAAAAGCTGCTTATTTTATACACGAAACTTCAAACGAATTCAAGCGATGCAGTATAGCCTTATAGACAGTCAAAAATTGCTAATTGCTAAAGTTGCTTAAGCCACATGTCAATCAATATTAGCCAATCAAAAAGCGTGTATATAAATAGCTTAGATAGCTTGAAAGATAGCTGAGGCCACTTTAATGTCTGTAGGTTACCTTTAAAGAGCTCAGTATCGTAAAGAACAGTTTATCATGTTGCTTTCGCCCAATATGTTTTACGTTTCGTACTTTCCTTGATTTAGCGGAATGCAGCCTCATTTACTTGTGAAATGTGCCTGTGTAGAGAATCAAGTTTTGTCTTGAGGGGGGGGGGGGGGCATGATTAGGATTTTCTGACAGGAACACTGAGAAACCGGATGTTATTAGAGGGCTTAGATTATGACAAATCATGAAAACGTAATCCTTATTGTCTTCTTACAATAGGTGCTAATCTGCTATGTAACGTTTCTAGTGCGCCCAGAAAAATTCCTTCTTGCTGAATTTGTCAACTTTCGCCTAATCTGCCGTCCTGCTTTGAAGCGTCCTCATAACAACGGAAATGTCCCCGCTGTTTGTCCAAGTGGAAAAAGCTTGCCTTGATTTTCAGGTTTGACAAAGATAATCCCATTTAACTTCGATACTAGTGTGCCCGGGCCCTATGATAAAGAACTAGTATGAGAACAAGCAAGTTCCAAGCCCTAACCCTGATAATTTCTATCATTGCTCATAAAAAACTTCAATGGTTATTCTTGCACCTCACTATTGGTTGTATTATTTTTGTGGCACAGGCAAGAGAAAGGGCAGGTGTTTATACAGATACGCTTCCTTCTGAAAGTGATGGGCCTATTGTGGAAACGGGGGACTACGGTGCAACCGAAGAGCAAATTATTGAAGAAAAATACAATTGTACTAGCCAAGAAAATAATGTGAGTGAGACTTCCTTTTTAAAAGAGGAAGGCCAATGTCATGCTCCTCAAGGTGAGTTTTATTTTGTTTATTCCAATAAGCCTTCGGCAGACAGGATATTTTTCAGTGAGAGATAATTTGATTTTTTAAGCAGGCATTTACATTATCTTTCTTTACAATCATGTGCTAAATTGTATGAATGAAAATGGCAGTTTGCTTGTCTGTCAGATGGTGCCCGATGTACACGCCCATATAAAGGGCGCACATATAAATATACATAAATAATTTATAAATATATCAACGAAAAAATAGGTTTTCCAGAACTTTTTATTGTCAGTGACACTGATAAGTCATGATTTCTCAGAAAGGGATGGATTTCTTTCAAAGGGGGGGGGAGAGTTCAATAATTCTAAGGAGTGGGGGCTACATAATTTAAGTTGAAACTGTTGAGATCTACTGTCATTTGTAAAGTTTGATAGCTGCCACACAAATTATTAATTCATACTATTACAAATAAATCTTATATACTGATAAACATGATAGTTATAAGAGCGTTTTGTTCTAATTTTCTCCAGGATCATTTTTTTAATTTTCCTCGTTTCACTTCCAGCATTTGACAGGAGAATCTCATGCAAAAACAACAGTTTTTGGCTTATTCAAGATGTATGGGTAAAATGGCCTACGTAAAATGGTGAAATTCTTTATAAAATGTGTTTGTTTTTTAGAGCATCCAACAATTCCCCAAAATGAAAAGCAGATTCACCCGCAAGATGCCAACGAGGTTCAAGTATTCTTTGTGAATCAGTCGCCAGCATCTCATTCAAAGTTAGAGATTTTTGTCAAAGTTTTCGCTGTTACTCTCTTATTTCTTTTAGTAATCTTTTCATTGATTTTCAGACTAAGTCATCCTTAGATACTTCCATATCTTTTTATTATGCATTATGCATTTTTATTATGCACTTATTATGCACTAAAAATTTTATGTCTTGTAAAATTTTATATTTTTTATCAAAACTATTTTGAAACATAACAGAGTGAATATATCCTGTATTTCTCAAGAGTCAGAAAAAGATGGAACTTAAAGAGAATAAAAATCATTATGGAGCCATACTGCAATATACTGAAGTAATTTATCGACTGACACAACTCTAAATACAAAGCGTTGGTGGTTTCAGTAGGTGAACTGTAATCTGTATCCTGTTGCTGAAGGGCATGACTTGTGGGAGAGAATGGCGCTGTTAATTGGCCCCATGTTTTTGACCCATCAATGTCGAATAACCTCTCGTGAGATTTGAGAGAGAAAGCAATCTCTCTATTTACGAAATGTATCGTCTGTAGTCAAATTTTATTTAGATTATTTTATTTGCTAAAACTAAAGTCGTTAGTATGATTGACACTGGTAATTATAATAGCTGAAGAGATTTATCTATTGGAGAGAAGTTATTTGAAGTTTCGGAATTCAACCCAGCGCTTGAAAATAGGGCCTAGTTCCGTTGGAAAAATTAGACGTAGACTCTTTCTGGTCCTCCGAGCCGGATATTTTGAATGAAACTAGCGGGATATAGCTTCTCGAATTGAAGAAATTACGAGGGACAGCGGAAAGATGCGCATCAAAGATCCAGGGAAATGCATTTGATTTGAAGGAAGACTTTGATCCTTTGGCTAAAGCTAATTTCGAGCTTTAGAGAATTTATTTGTGGAAAGATGAGAAACTAACAAGGAGGTTGACAACAAACTTTTAATTGTAACTGACTATCTTTTGGCGGAAGAAAATGGGAGGGATGGTTAAAAAAATTGCAAATAATTTTACAACTGATAATGTTTTCGGAAATTCTTTGGAAGTCCAAAGAGTTGGCAACGATTATGGAGTTGGCAACGACGCTTATTACTAAGATAGCTTGACACGTCTAAACCACAGAATATTCTGGGTTTTAACTGTGGGATAGAGGTCGAGAGCTCGTTCAACATCGTGTTAGGATCACGGAAAATAAAGCCTAGCCCCGGTTGAGAACTTTGACACGGATTTCTTTCTTTGTGCATTTGGCACACTATCTGCCCGCACGATTTTTTGCTTATGCTAATTTTAGGTTTAAAGGAAATCATCCATCGCTTCCAATGGTTCTGAAATTGTTTTCAGTTTCATGTTTGGCCCATTTTTGTCAAATAATGTCTTATGGCCGAGCCAATTTGTGTAGGGACATCGTGCAAGTTGGCTGTCACAGCCTTGATTCAGCAAGGGTTACCAACAGCTCTTAAAAATTCCATTTTTGGGCATACTACGTTTGTTAAGCATGGTAAAAAAGGGACTTGTCCAAAAAGCATACAGCTCCGTTTGCCTTCCTTCTTATTTCAATATTTTTTCCAAAACTTAAAATGATCATATACTACACGACCAAAACACATTGTCATTCTCTTTTTAGTCAATGTTTCGTAGAAGGAAAATAACCGACTCACGCGAATCTCGAATTCACGACCCCTGACTTTGTACATCAAATGCTCCTTCAAGAAAATACAGGCAATTATATGCAGACGTTTTATGTTAACAAAATAAAACCAAATCTTCAAGATATGTCAGCATATACTCTAGCAGTTACGTCATATGCTCAAACAGTCATATCAACCATTTTCATTCTTTCTCCGCACAAATCTTCAGCTTTCACTAGCTTTCACATTGTCATTCTCTTTAAATTGATCTCCCAACGATTCCAAGGTCTTCTTATCGGCTGTTTCGGGAAGCCAAAGCAACAGGATGGCACAAATGACAGCGGAGCCGCCCATTATTGAAAAAGGCAGCACCACATGGAAGACCGCGAGCGATTTTGCAACCCAAGGTGCCATTGCAGAACCAAGTCGACCAGCGATTTGCAGATAGCCCATTCCAGCACCTCTTTATAAGATGAAATTTAAGCAAGGTAAGAAGCTTGATCGAAATGGAAAATTTCATTTGGTTGCCAAATATTTAGATTGTCTTTGCAAAATAATTGAACATCAACATTGAGTGACGGCCTAAGGTTACTATAAAGCAGACAGAACAATCAAACAGTTATGTCTTCCTGTACACAGACTGCTGGAAGAAGCATCGCCTTCCCTTTGTAATGATTATGTTACTGCAGTAGTGTAGCAAGGAGGCAAGGGTGTGACCGGCCCCTGATGCTCCGAAAATTGCAGTGCCCTTTAAAAAGTGCCCCCGGCGACAGCTCTTGCCAAGGAGACAAGTGCTTACCTTATAACGGTTGGATAAAGCTCAGCAGACCACGTGTAGATTGAATTGAACGACATAGTGATGCTAAACTTTCCAAGTACACCAAAGAATACACGCAGTCCGATCAAATCTAAAAGGAAAACAATGTTGATTGTACCAATGATCATCGAATCAAAAGAGCAATTACACTCAGGGAATTAAACTATAAGTTAAAAAGAATATGGAAACATTTTACATTGACATTTAGAACCTGCGATCTCTAAAGCTTTTCTAGTCAAATTCAAATTTACTGATTTGATACTCTGGCGTAGATAGACGGTGGTAAGAGGTGGCGAAAAACCTGCCTGTTAGGCTTAATTGCTATTTGTTGGAAATGCCCCCGAGGAGAAATCCAAAAAAACCTTGAAGAATTATGATTTATGACACTGGAGTTTGAATACTTTTTAAGAGTTTATGTTCTGTTTTATCTCGGTTCTAATGTAGATATGTTATGTTCAGATTTATGAAGACATGTAGGCTGGATTTAAATTTCTCGCCCTTCCTTTGAATTCCCCAACTACACCACTTATTTAATTACATCCATACCCCGGATGGACTCAAATACGAAAAACAGTGAAATCGTCATGCAGAATATACCGGCTACTGTTTTTAAAGAGGCCGTTTCAAGGAGGGGATCACAAAGAGGGGCGCCTTTAGTAAGGATATCACTTTACATCTTCTAAATACTTTAAAAATCATTCCTGTCATCGACTTTTTAATGCCTAGGGAATTGGGGGTGACTAACCAGAAAGTCATTTCCACCTTATTAAGAAATGATAAACGACAATATTAAAATCTTCTTACCTTTTTTCAGACCTTTCTAAAATTAAATACTAGCTGCATTAATCTACCCTCCCCCTTCTCCAAAAACTCGATCGTTCCCCTTTCTTAAGGCATTGCTTCACAATTAGTATGGCGTCAACGTACCTGATGTCTTTCCTCCTGCCTTTACAGGAATCAAAGAGACCGCAATGCATGATATTCCGGATATAAACATGGGAATTAAAACAGTCTTCTTTCGTCCGATTCTGTAGAGAGAAAGTGCAGTGCGTAAGTCATTTTAGTTACCATCTAGTATGCCTATTATGGAGAAATATGGTTCAAGGTGGGACCTCTCCAAAACGTCTTGTTAGAAGCAGCAAAAGTGGTTTTTCAAAAACACAGTTGTCTGAGATTTATTTTAAGGTTACGGTAAACGTTTTCTGGATAAAAACATCATTTTTTCGATTTTTTCACATTCAATTAGCCGAACTTTCAAGGCACACAACGATACCAAATTTGAAACAAACAGAAATTTTGAAAGTGGAAAAAATCCCATGTAAACGAAGGTTTCCATAATTTCTTTATCAAAACTTTTAGTTGAGGCCTGAAAATCTCTTGACCTTTTAAGCCGATTATCGTTGCTTTGCGGTTGTAGTCGCATGTCTCATTTACAATATCGCATGGCACATCCATATACCCAATGTACGGCCGTGTTTATTTAAACAGGCTTATTGATCTTAAATCTTCAAGTGACTTGACCCGGATTACACTGTGGTTTACGAGTGTATCTTGCAAGTGCGATCAGTAAAATCCCGTTTTCTCCGGACTCGAAATTCCTCTACATGCAGGTACGAAAAAGCTATTATGTACCCAAGGAACCAATCGAATGGCTCGAAAATTTGCACACGGCCAGGGCAGACGTTGGGCAAACAAAGTGTGTCTCTGGTCCGTCTTTTATACCCAAATACAGCTGCGGGAGGGTGGAACAATTATTTGCCAATTTTTGACAGGGTATAGTTTCAAGAAGAGGAGGAATTTAAAAAATCTGAGACACACTTTGGTAGCTTAGGACCTGCACTTCCTGCTGGTCTAAGTCAGATTTTGTTACCTCAAACGCAAGGGTACATAATAGCTTTTGAAGGTGGTACACTTTTTGACCAGTGAATTCGCATGGAAAATAACATTTAACATTATTTTCCAATAATTTTTATCTGGCTAGATACGCCATAATCTTGTGCATCGAATGATATATAGTTTATCTAGATTCCTTGAGCCGTTTGGCCTTTAGGAAGGAAAAACCAATTTTCGTGTTCAAAACGTTTACCGTAACCTTAAGGTAGCAGTCTACCATGAAAATGGTCAGTTATGAAAATTTTGTCAAAATTCCTTTTTCCTTGGATATGATCAGGAAAATTACTGCAAAATTTGATTTTGAAGGAAGTTTTCCCGTAACTGTTGTAGTTTTTGCGAAAATTTGATTTATTTATCCCCTGGGTTGATCATCTTTCCTTAGCAACCAAGTTTCTATCGGTTGCTAGGGGGTCTGTTGACACCCATGGGACCCGTTTTTGAGAAAAAAATTATATTACGTAATCTATGGTCTTCTACCATATCCCAAAATGCATTTATACCACTTTAAAAAGCACAGGGAACGAATGAAGCATAGTTTCTGTTAGGCCTGGCCGACGAAAGTTGTTCGAAGAGTCCTTCCTTTTTATGAAGCGAACTTATCCGACAATGAACGCCCTGAAAAGAGAGTTTTTAATCGAAAATTTAGGTCGGTAAAGCAAAGAAAAGAAAAAGATCTGCTGGAAGTAGAAAAAACTATGTATTCGAAGCAGTGACAAGGATTTGGATTACTTAGGCCAAAGCGAAAAGGTGATGAAGATGTACTGCCTACCTCGTCTTCACAAGCAACAACGGATCAAAGCAAAGAATTAGAGGAACACAGTGCTTCACTTTATAAACTTATGAACTCTTTCTTTGGTTCAGAAAACCTTAGTCCCATAAAAAGACCAATTTCCGGATAAAAGAAACGAAGGATGCTGCTGCTGGCAATATTGGCAGTGCTGACGACGATGGCTACAGCCTTATAGATAAGAAACTTTTGATGAATGCAATCAACAAAAAATTGCTGTTTGTCGTACATGTAGGAATCCAAAGGCACAGTTAAGCCTGCTGCTTAGTTTGGCCTCTAGTTTAGAAATAAGTTTGGCCTTGCAGAGAAATATTATCTTGTATGTAGCCATTGTCATACAAGTTCACCACTTGAAGACCAGTGAAAAGCTCAGTGGATCTAAGAGGGCAGACAAGAAAGGGGGACAGACCACATATGAAATAAACTGTAGATCAGTTGTTGCTTTACTAGAAACTGAATGTGCTGGGTTGGAGAGATCTTTTGGCTTATGAGTCTTCCAAACACTGTCTCAAAGTCACCTTACAGCAAACAGTTAAAAAATCTTGAGGAAGTGGCAGTAAATGTATGTGAAAACATTATGAATGAAGCAGCTGCTAGGCTTATAGAGATCATTGAAAGAGAAGAGCGCACAATGATTGAATTTGATAAACCATCCACTGGAATGAGTCCTTGCATGGTATGGTATGGGCATGATGTCCAAAAACCTGTCAGGTTTAGTGGTTAGTGATCAGTGATTTAGTGGAAAACGAAAAGTTACAATCACTGTTTGCCATTCTGTTGGAAATTTCAATATTGGGCCATCATCAATTGCAGATGTTTTGAAGGCATTACAACTTAAATGTGGCCAAACAAACTTTAAATTATTTGAAAACTGTTGACAATAGAAGGCTGAAAGATGCTGCAAGGAAGGTTTCACAGAAATACAAAGATCGGAGACAAAAATTACAAGCTGCCACCTTAAAAACATCACAGAAATACAAAGATCGGAGACAAAAATTACAAGCAATAAAGAAGGGAAGCCTTGATGTAGCTAGGAATAGCTATTTATCAAGGGCTTTTGGTCTTTTGGTCTTCTGCAGAGCCTGAAAACATTTCTAAGAAGGTAGTTGATGCAAGTCTAAAAAGGAAAAGAGGAAATAAGGAAGGAAAGAAAAAGAGACCTAGAAAGTCGACGGACCTGTCGAGTAATGAACATGGACATTTCAACCAGTTTGAACCCCCAGTTACCTTTATGATGCCTCTAAACATTATTATTGACTTCTTTTGACATTTTTGGTTGTATCTATGGGTACATTATGTGTGATACACAACCAAAATTCAGTCAAGTTGCAAAAGATAAGAAAAATTAGTTATTCAGTACATCTCAAAACTTCAAATGCACTTTTCTCAAATCTCAAATACGGACATCTATTAGGCTTGTGATTAAGATATCTTTGGCTCTGTATAAGATATGAAGATGAAATTTTCAAATAATATGTATCTTTTAATGCTCTATGCAATAAATACATAGATTTTTGATAGAAGAAATATTTCACAAAATATTTTAGAAAACTCAACTTTTCACAATAAAATATCTAGCTGACTTGGTATCATAAAACTGTGTGTTCATTGCATAGATTATGTAAGTAGAAACTTGTTGCTAAAAAATTTTCACCATAGCCTTTAGCATTCATGAGATATCATTTCCACAATTTGCAGAAGTTCGGCCTTTGTTTTTATGTTTCTATGGCAACGTCATTGCCACACCCTTCCAGACATCTATTTTTGCTTTTTAAATCTTATATTGTTTATAACCTGAAAGTTTCAAGCTTCAAGCTCAAGCCATTATTAAGTTTTGGCCAGTTTTCCATATTGCTGCTTTCAAGGTAGACTGCCACCTTAAAGAAGCAAGAACGTTTCCTAAAAGAATATTCAATTCATAAGAGACATAAATCGTTAAAAAACGCTCCGTTATGAAAAGCTTGTACTTGCAGAATTTAAACCTAGCGTTTTAAAAGGGTGACAAAAAAATCGTGTTTTGTCATTATTCTGAAGTCAACAGAAGCCACAGGTACCACAAAATTTGAAGACAGCATGGAAAAGTGGGAACATCGCATTCTAAAGTATTTTTGATCCACCACTTCTAAGAATGTAAACGGTCGGATGATGACAAGAGGTGAGCAGAATGTTGTATCCAGATAACACTTAAGGGTGAAAATGGCCTGTTTGATCATGGTTTGATTGGTTCACATTTCTTCTTAGAGTGAAAAGTACTGAATTGTGCTTTGTTCACGCTTTTGCATGCTTTCTTCAAAATATTCTAAACTCGAATTACAGCGAAAGAAACAGCTTACTTGTTGCAACAATATATCGCAAGTGTAGTTGCTGGCAAGTCGACCAGACTTGCGAGAATGTAGTCACGATACATGTTCCCGCTAAAGTCATCAGCACCAAAGGAAACGCCGAAAAAAACCAAGCCACCGACCACCCTGAAAGTAGAATTAATCGAATATTATTCTGAACAGCATAGCCTTCAACAGGGTGTGAACCAAAGTTTTCTATAAAGCGAAAAAGGCGTGAGCCTAAATTTGACGACGCAAGAAAAGAAAAACTGTAAGTTACTGAAGCGATGTAATCAAAATGATAATAACCAGAGAACGCCAATCGAAATGTAACTTTAGAGTAGCTTTAGCAGCTTTTTAGGATCGCAAAATATTGCTTTGTATTTGCAATCCAGTGGTCTTTATAATGGTAAATGCAAAAGTAAACGAAGAAACTGAAACATAAAATAACTGTGGTCAGAAGAAAATGAGGCAAAGAGAACGTGGTTTCTTTTGTTACTGCCATTTACCTCCTAATCAGTATTAAATGTTGCCACCGCTAACCGGCTCGGCATTGCTTCATCGTCATCTGTTTGATAAAAACGTTGCCAACGATGCATGCCCGTAGAAGTATACTTACCAAGCACATCCTTGGATCAAACTCCTAATAGCGACTTTCTTAGGCTTGAATAGATGGAGATAATGTGTCAGCCCAGGCGAGCAGTCCATTGGAACTGGCTTCAATGTTATGTCTGGCAGCTCTTTTCCATTAAACTTGGCAATCTTTCGAAATATCGCAACCGCTTCGTCAGTTCTTCCATTTACATGAAGCCATCTTGTGGACTCCGGAATGAACCTTGCATCGAACAAAGAGTAAGCAATAAGGAATAAAGCAAACAGGAATGTGGGGTCGGAATCCTTCCAGGGCAAAAAATGTGAAACTGCACCATGTGGATTAAATAATTATTTTGTTCATACCCTAATTTGCAGAAGCTTTTGGTTGACAATAATTACAAAAATAGAGAATTGAGGGACATTAATTTATTAGGTAGCACAAAAATTAGCAGTTTTCTGACTTTAACCCATAACCCTTGGTGCAATAGTTGAGCTGTCACAAAATATGCAAAAAAGCTTCTTAACGCATCCGCACTAGCTAATGAGGTCAGTTCATTCGTTACTTATGATTCCAAACTCTTAGCTATTTTTAAGGTGCAATGATAACTAATTTAAACAGTTTTATAAGAACAGTAGCCTCAAGAGGAAAAGGAAGAACAAGCTGAGCTAGTGTAGAATGTAATTTCTAAAAATGCTGTGAAATGTGTAAGAAGAAAAAACGCAAGATATGCTGTCTGCCGGATTCTATGAATCTTGCAAAGAGTAATAATACGAATAATAGTCGAAAACAAAGCGACACAACGACGAGAATCCAACGTAGTTAAAGAGAATTTTAAAATAAATTAAATTTAATAAATACTAATAATGCACACAGGCATACAGAGTTACATTAGATTACAATTATTAATGTTGTGAAGTCCCCTTAAAAGGTTTCAGTTAAAAAACGAGGAGCTTTTTGCCATCCAGGGGGGCTTTTACAGTTAATTTTCAAACCTCAAGATCTCGAGAGGTTTTTAGAAACATTGTTAGAAACAGGGAATATATTTTGAAATGTTGTCGACGAAAAGAAGAACACACACACTTTTGGGACATAAAATATCGCTCATAGACATTCAAACTAGTGTCAGTTATGGTATTGTCTTTCAGATTTTCAGCAGTCTGTTTTGGTTCCAAGACATCGGACCATTTGTTTCAAAATGTTTCCACATATTCAACTCAAAATCTAATGGTAAAATTTCACAAAAACTTACTCACTTGAAAAATAAAAATGTAACAAAATATGGGGCTGTAACGACTATCATCAAAATCTTCCACGTTTGAACGAAGATTGCTATAACTCCAAGCAATACTACGCTGAGAGCAAACGAAAACCAAAGGGAGATCCCAGCGAATGGACGCCATTTTGGGCCTACAAACTCTGAAATGAGCACAAACATCTGTATACGTGCTCCAGGAAGGAAAAAACCCATTAAACTGCGTGTTAGAATGTAGAACCAAAGGGTCGGAGAAAACGAAGTGATGAAGCCAAGCACGACGAGTATCGCCATGGAAGGCAGCAGTGTTAACCTTCGTCCATACCTGGAAAAAAAGAATTTAAGTTCAAGCTAAAAAGTGAGCAATCATATATTCTATAGTAAACTTTTGTCTAACAGAGAATGAATGTTCTTCAGCTAGAAGCTTGCAAGGATATACCACAAGCATGCCCACTGAGTTCCATTCTATTTAGCAACAACATATGACATGACGGCTGTGGATCTGGTCCTTCAAGCTCTTGTTTGGCCTATGCATAATTGGACTCGCTAAAGTCAATAATTCTCCAGCTGAATATGTCACATTCTGTGATGATTGACTTAAAGTTCATGTTGAACAATGTCGAGCAATTCAGACGGTGACGTTTTGCAGTGGACATGAGCTTGCTGCACATCTTTATTAGATTAATGATGAGAAAAACAAAACTGTAGAAAGGATCTTTCGCATTGCCTCTAGCCCTCCATCGGGATGTTTATATACTCCATCGGCCACAAAAGATCCTCGTCGCCCTCAGTAATTATTAATCAAACTGCCTCTGTCATACTTTCATCGTTGTCAACATCGACATCTTTCTTTTGTTCATTTTCTTCAAATCATCCGGCTCTATTCCATCAATTTTTTATTTTCTTGAAGTAATGTTGTAAGGTGGACAGGATACCTCCGCTTTCTATTCCACCTATGGTATTAGGGACAGCCAACGACAATCTGAAAACGTTTTAGCAGTAACTCTCCAACCATTATTAGCAATGACATTGATTATTGGCATTGTCAATGTGTCAATGTCAATGTTGTGTCCAGCTAAAGCAAGCAACTTTGCGGGGGTTTCCAAAAGCATGTGATCAGGGACGGACTTAGTGATAGGGGTGTAGGGGGTGCGACACCCCCCAATATTTCTGTCTCCTTCGGTAAATTTGGTTCCATTCGGTAAAAGCCATTTTTTGGTAGTTAGCAGTAACAAATTAACGCCAAGATTTAACTTTATTTATCTCCTTAATATCAGTATTTATCTTCTTATCAGTAGCGTAGCGGGGGAGGCAAGGGGAGCGGCCGCTCAGAAAGTCGGTGTCTGAGTACAAAGTACAAATCTGCAATAGAATTAGTACCTTAAAGGGGGACTTTATATTTCAGACAATATTAAAACATTTTTAAAGACTGCAAACAAATGGAAGAAATATTCTGAAATGTATTTCAAGCTAATCGGAAGGGCGTCGTCGCAAAAATTTTCTGCTGGCTTCGCTCGCACAGGGACCCTCCTTTATAACTCTAAAGAATGTTCAACAATTTATCCCACGTTATAGGATTTAGATAGAAAAGTATTTCACGTTCTCTAGACAATCCCGATAAAATAGAAACTAAAATGCTAAAGCGCTTCAATCCTTAAAAAAATGTGCTTTTGGGGATTTTGCTCCAAGGAGAACGGAATTAGTTTAAAACATTTTAATCCGGTTTGTTATTTTTAGATATTTGATTAAAACTGTGGAGAATCAGTTTTTACACGTAGTGCTTCCTTGCCTTACACAATTCAGAATGTAAGGGCCTTAACCCGGGTATCTTTTGACCCACCTGCGAGTTAATGGAAACGCCGAAACCCGGATAACTTCTGACCCACTTGCAACAACAGCAACGTTTAAAAATTGAGATGGCGCCAAAAATAAAAAAACAAAATCCTCGATGTCCAGGGGCGGATCCAGAGGGGCGCGAAAGGGGCTCGAGCACCCCTCAGATTTGAGGAAAAACTTTTTGGGGATTAAAGCTTATTCTATCGCAATTTTGTTTATAATTATTTAAACCATTTATTATCTCTTTTACCGAGAAGTATGCACATCTCCTGAAATTGTTATATCCGCTTCAATGTCCCGTCTCACAACTGTTCAACATTGTTATTTCAGTCCATGCATTGAAGTGTTATCAAACTCCCCCTGGTTGTACTGTATAGCATTCTACAGACTCGGAAAGCATTGTCTCCTCTTATAACCAGCCACTTGAGGAACCCGTGGCCTGTAAATTATACGATTTTCTGCACCCGTGGAAGTGAATCTAGCCAATCACGGTGCCAGGTCAAGGGGTTCTAAACTTTGGCGCGAGAACCCATGGATTTCAAAAATCCAAAACATCAAAGAATACCGACAAACCAGGGGGAGTTTCTTCGCTTCAATCTACAGTCAAATGTATAGTGGTTTTATGACCAGGGGGAGTTAAGCTTGAACAGGGGGAGTTGAGGTTGACCAGGGGGAGTTGAATTATGATACAGCACGCGACGAATGCTTAGGTGAAGTGCAAATTTGCAATATGTTTTCGTAGGTCTTTTGACGATCTTTACCTGGTGCTCGATGCTGTAACGGCAGAACTTGTAAACGCTTTGGTTTATATAACAGAACGGTTTCAAGTTTCAACTCCGTGTTTCACGTCTTATTCATAGACCATGAGGTATGATTTATATTCAGAGGATAAAGCTTGCCCGAGCCCTTGTTATTCTTTTGTTAATCATTCAAGAACTACATACAAAACATCTCAAAAACTTGCCCATAGTATTCTTGACCAAAAGGGGTTTTCTTCTTATTCCTGCTTACATTCCTACGAATACTTTTTTCTCTAAAGATTTCAAATTCATAAAAATACTCAAAACGGCAGGCCCATAGCGAAACGTTCAGGGCCTCATTTGTTTGGTTTGGTATCAAATGTCAATGCATGCCATGCATGCTGTGTTTGAATCCCTGTGTTCAACTTTTGTCCGACTTTTTTCTATTGTTCTATTGTCTCTAATGACGTGCACTGCACTTCATGTTCAAGGGCTTCATTCCACCAGCCATGATCAAGTTCTAATAAATGGCTGCAAAGAGTCAATAAACTTTGCTTTGGAAATTTGTGGGCTCGGGCCTTTTGCCACTGCGGGCAATGATATCATATTTGACTACAGTTTCTATACTTTTGTAACCTAAGTGAATATGAGGGGGAGAGCTGCAAATTGCGTTTGGCATAAAAGCTGGAGCCAAAGTTCCAAGTTCTGATCAAAGTGTAGCAAAAATTACTATATCAATCGCGGCATCCAGGCTTTTTAGTTTATGGAAGACTTTCATTTCATTATGGCTTATTAGCAGGGGGTACGGAGTTTGTGCATAGCAACACCCTTGGTTACCAAGCTTTACGTTTTAGCACCCCTCAGAATAATTTCTAGATCCGCCCCTGATGTCGATGAAACTTCCGTTGGCCCATGATGGAAATTGAAGGATTATTCATGCAAATACTGATCTCAACTTACAACTCTGTTACCCTGGGTACCAGACTCACTATATATGAAAAAAATTTTTTTTTCATATATTGTGAGTCTGGTACCCAGGGTACAACTCTGTGCGTTTTCACCAGAGGTGGCGCCAGAAATCTTCCGACAGAGGGGCTGGAGCTTCCGACAGGGGGGCTAAAATGACTAAAATAAGCAGTTTTCATACGTTTTTTTGTCAAATTTGCTCCGACAATAACCTAAAACTTCCTCCGATGGGGGGGGGCTAGATGCTCCCGACGGAGGGGCTGTAGCCCCCCTAGGCCTCCCCTGGCGCCACCACTGTATTTCACCCTGGATACATTTTAACCCAGCTTAGTTGGAACGATCAAAAACGGATAAAAACGGGTCGAAGAAAAATGCCGTTTCCATTGACTCACTTTAAAAACGGATAACTTTTAACCCGGTAATGTTTTAACCCGGCCTATAGGCTACCAAAGTTTTTGTCGTCCTGCCCCAGATCAGGACGAGATCTGGAGAACGGAAATGTTAGCAATTAACGCATTTTTCTGGTGCCACACAAAACCCAAAGTCAAATCATTCTTTGTTTTAAACTACATTACATTAGCCTAACAGCAAACAACCACTTCACATACGAACTGCAGCGCGCACGAATTTCCAAGCGGAATATCTTTGTCAAATTTGAAAAAGTATTCTCGATTTTCCACTGTGACAAGTATAATGAGTTTTATGTTAAGTCAAAAATCAGTTCGTCTAGGGCCTATCATTGGAAATGTAGTTAATTATTATTAAGTACAAAGACGACAACCTTGTGGTAAACGATATGTGAATTACATAACAGCGTAGGCATTATCGTGAAAAGTTGTTGCTCTTGCTTACCGATCTGATGTCCATCCCAGTACGATCGCACCGACAGCCCATGAGACAAAAACCAAAGATGTTGCCAAGTAGCTGTATACTTCAGTTTCGCAGTATAGGTCAAACTGTTGAAAATATGCTCCTTTGCTTACAGACTATTTGTGACTAAATAAGGCATAAACCATCAGCCCCCTGGAAAGCTTAATATTTTTGGCACTTTCGTAAGTCAAGGGGGGCTCATTTGAGTAGAGGAGTGGGGCTTATAAAAATCAACTGCAAGTTGTCATAAAAGGAACCCCTTTCGTACCTTTTTTAATTTGTTCAAGATAATTTTGTTTGCAATTATACTTGCTAACACTTTGTTAGGTATCCTACCAAAGTATACATCAAAGCATTAAAAAATATTTTAGTCCTCATCATTGATATTTTTATTGTCTTTTCGTCAATGCCTCGTTTTGTCTAAGCTTTTTCATTCCCCACTTTAATGTGCCATCACTCATTAGCTAGAATGGTGTATCTTTCCGTTACATCTCGTTCAAACCCCCCATGGGGCTTATTTTGCCGTAAGGGTTGGGGATTTTTCGAGGCGGCCTTATTCGAGGCAGGCTTATTCAAAGCGGTCATATACGAAGCGGGCTAAAGTGATGAAATCACAAAAAATTATTTTTAGAATTTTTGAATTTGGATCCCAAAACCTGAAAAAGCATTATAACATACCTCTGAATGTGCAAAATCAGTCAAATGTGTTTCAAATTGGCTGAGATATAGCCACATGTGCACTACATGTGCTCTGGCTCTTTCACTATCAAACCCTTGTATTTTTGTCTTTGTTCATAACTTTTTGAATACGAAGTACGAACAGAGCCAAAAGAACAATGATTGGTTAGCAAACGTCAAATCTTTCATTGGTCATATCTCACTCGATTTTAGACATATTTGGCTGATCTTGCATATTTAAAAGCATTTCATTGTGTTCTATTATGTTAAAATTGCTAGAATGTAGTTAGATTGAAAAAGTCTAAAAAATTTCACCTAGCCGCAAAACCCACTGCTTTGGATAACCAAATTTCTTCCAATTTTCCTTTCTAAACACGCCTTTAACCATTGTTGCACTGCTCATTTTAGTAAAATTTTCTTGTGTGTTCCCAGTTATAATTTGTCTAGCGCGCATTGCAAGTTATGCAGACAATATTGTCAAAAAAAGTTGATTTTATTTTATCGAAATTGTACTGATTGTCAATACGGGGCCGTAAAGTAGCAAGGCATACCTGAGTCATGATTGAATATTCCTTCGGCTTTGTGAATTGCCATTCTGACCTCGGCATTTTGCATCTCTCTTTGTAAAACTTACTCTGTGTATCGTATGTGCCATTTAGATGACAAACTGTGCTGTTGGCGACGCACATCCAGGGAGGGTTGTGTTGCGCAAAATATGGTATGAGTATAAGCATTGACCCTGGGAAGATCATTATGCAAAATGCTATTTCAAGAAGAATCTGAAACTTTCCGAATTCACCAATTAAAGGCAAAACGTCATCAATGCTCAATGGCTCTGTCGGGATATCAAGTGGTGTAGCCATTTCGAGTTGATTTTGAGTTACGAGTTGCGTTGAGCGGGCACTATAGAGCGTCGAGATAACTCCCAAACTCTGCTTGTAGTAGTTTCAAAACTCTAACATGGATGGCGGATGTCAACCTTATCTCGGTCAATTAGTTTACGGTTCATCTGTTGTTGCATTGTATTGTGTTGTTGCAATATATCTTTGTTATTTATCCGACAGTCTCATTCCACAGGCCTAGTCTCCAGACGAAATTCTTTTATTTTATATAAAAGGGAGTCTGGTACCCAAGGTACCAACGATAATGAAGAGAATGAAAATTATGAAGTTAGAGCCTATGAAGTTAGATCCTGGACAAAAATACGAGTCGTGGTTTCGGCACCTCACCACTGTGTTTCGTGGATTCTATGAGTCGTTTTAGACATTCGATGCACCGAGTTGTTGGTCGAGTCGTCGACTCGTCTAAAAGCAAAGGGACTAACGCGCTGAAAAACGTTGTCGTGCAGCGATTCGGTGCATCGAATGACTAAAACGACTCATAGAATCCGCGAAACTCAGTGGTGAGGTGCCGAAACCACGATTCGATATTTTTGTCCAGGATCTAACTTCATAGAAAATAAGACGAACCGAACTACTCGAATAAAACATGTTATACCAATTAAACCATAAGAAAATTAGTCGGAAATCTTGCTACAGACCTATTTTCTACGCAAAAATCTCAATGGCTAAATAGTTTCCCCATTTCTTAAATTCTGCTTGCAGTATAACGGAAGTTTTATCGTGTTCTGTTTTCGCCGTGTATCGAGCTGGGATAACCAAACTGACTTCGCGCTTTCGTTTACCAGCGATTCGGGCGTTTATTGTGTTGTCTCCTTGCTGATTTAGGAAAAAAATCCAGCACCCTTGACCATTGTGATTAATGCTCCATCTGCTTTATTTACACCCTCAATGCTTCTTCGCGATTATCTTTCTTGATTGAAAGAGACTCATTCAGTCTTCAACTTAGCCGCCTTTGTAATTTGTTGCCCCCTTAGTGCTGCACTGAACTTTACCTTTTATTTCATAGTGAAACTGAAATCTATCGGTGTAGCACGAGCTATTTTTTGCAAGATGAAACGAGTTGTTGCTTATTATAATTGAACCTTGATTCTGGTTTACGTCCGGAAGACTAGTTGCCATGGAACCCTCTCTCTCGTTACCCTATCACAGTGACCTGAGCCCCACTTCCCACCGGGCCAACAAACAGATAGGGGCCCCAATAATTATTCGAAAGTTTTATATGGTACCATAGGGTTTCTTTTGCTCGAGCTTCTTATCAGTGCACAAATGCACAACCTTAACGTGAGCAAACTTAAAAAATTGATATGTATGATTCCATCTTTTACGAACTGAAAAATGGCACCCAACTTCACGAAAGATAACCTCTTCACAACCTAATACATCTATCAAGCAATGTAAAATTATTAAATGTCTTTGCCAAAATCTTTATACAATATACAACAACAGGTCCGTCGGAACCGGGGAGCTGGAGGGACTTATATTTGTCAAACCGTAGCATATTTTCTTCATAACAGTAGCCTGCGTGCAGACTCGACTATGGGAAAATCTGCGATACTCCGGATTTCAGACCTGGCTTAACCTGAATTCATCTGTACCAACCTGAACCAAACCACACACTTAAAGCCTGAACCCACAACAGCACAGGTGTCAACTCTTCATTGGCTGCAATAGGAATCACCAAAGCATGACTCCCCGTCAAATTTAGCTAAATCAAAATGTGAGAAATGAGGGAGGATCTTCTTACATCTTATTGCAAATTTGTCCTTGAAGCACTATATTCACATGCTGTTGCTCATTTTAAAGTCATATGCCGGCTAGAATAGATTTTTAACTGTATGAGATTCAAAAAATTACTTCTCAGAGATATATCTAAGCTGTAAATCTGGTATACAATTTATAGAATTATTGATAATAAATTTATACCATACTTACATGAATATATCGTTTATTATCTCCTAAACGTTCTTTTATAAACATATTTCATACATCCACATTGAGTTGGTATAGATAAGGTAACAAAAACGGATGTCATGTCAGATAAATGTGTTTATGTTCTGTTTGGAAATTTTTTACTGGGCTTGCCTTCGTAATTAATAGTGTCCAAAGTGGGTAGAAAATTTCAGACCAAGATATCTTTCAAAACTGGTACATTTACCATATGGCATGAACTGATAAGATACATAGCATAGTGCGCATACCCCACATGGAGTCTACTGCAGCCGAGCGCCGTGGGCGTTTGCTCACTCTCTCGCCAGAATCCAGCTCATTCTGCGATTCTACATTTTTAGGAATACAAAGCTCCATGGGATGCGTTTTATGATATTTACGTGCACCATAAACAAGTCTCGCACCTTTATTAAGTGTGTTCCTTCCAGATTTAACAAGTCTGTGTGACCACACTAAGATCTGCTAAATGTGCTACCTACTTCAAAAATGGGATAATTTATGCGTTAGATAGAAAAGCCGTTTTTACAGGGAGTGTCATCAACCACCTTACCATCAAATTATTCATCAACAAAAGAAGAAAATTATCTTCCAAATATCAGATGGTCAGGGGTTTCTGCTTTTTAGAAGAGGGCGTATGCATTGCCTACGTTTGTACCAATTTACGCTCATAAACACAAAAAAGCATAACGTTGTGCAAGAATGTGAACCTTTTTCACATTCCATCTTATAAACATGAATCATTGCCAGGGAATTCCAGAAACACAGAAACACGGGAAATTATGCAGAAGTTTTCTGTTAACAAAATGAAACCAAATCTTCAGCATATACTCTAGCAGTTACGTCATATGATCAAACAGTCATATCAACCATTTTCATTCTTTCTCCGCACAAATCTTCAGCTTTCACTAGCTTTCACATTGTGATCTCCCAACGATTCCAAGGTCTTCTTATCGGCTGTTTCGGGAAGCCAGAGCAACAGGATGGCACAAATGACAGCGGAGCCGCCCATTATTGAAAAAGGTAGCACCACATGGAAGACCATGAGCGATTTTGCAACCCACGGTGCCATTGCAGAACCAAGTCGACCAGCGATTTGCAGATAGCCCATTCCAGCACTTCTGTATAAGATAAAATTTAGGCAAGGTAAGAAGCTTGATCGAAAAGGAAAATTTCATTTCGTTGCCAAATATTTAGATTGTCTTTGCAAAATAATTGAACATCAACATTGAGTGACGGCCTTAGGTTACTATAAAGCAGACAGAACAATAAAACAGTTATGTCTTCCTGTACACAGACTGCTGAAAGAAGCATCGCCTCCCCTTTGTAATGATTATGTTACTGCAGTAGTGTAGCAAGGGGGCAAGGGTGTGACCGGCCCCTAATGCTCTGAAAATTAGACTCTGAGAAAAGCAAAAATCTGCAATAGAATTAGCATCTCACGAGAGAGCTGTGAAATTTTAGACACTCCAGTGCTTTTATTTGTCCCTAAACAATTCACTAGCCCTGCAGATGTACACCATTCTTCTCCTATTCGAGGAAGAAACTGTAATCTTATGAAAGAGCCATTGAAACCTTGAACTGCCACTTGGACTAAGTGACTTGATGCTTGATGGTAGTTAAGATAAAAGATTCTTTTTGGGACCAAGCTTCAGCGCCCCTTTAAAAAAGTGCCCCCGGTGACAACTCTTTCCAGGGAGACAAGTGCTTACCTTATAACGGTTGGATAAAGCTCAGCAGACCACGTGTAGATTGAATTGTACGACATAGTGATGCAAAACTTTCCAAGTACACCAAAGAATACACGCAGCCCGATCAAATCTAAAAGGAAAACAATGTTGATTGTACCAATGATCATCGAATCAAAAGAGCAATTACACTTGGGGAATTAAACTATAAGTTAAAAAGAATACGGAAACATTTTACATTGACATTTAGAACCTGCGATCTCTAAAGCTTTTCTAGTCAAATTCAAATTTACTGATTTGATACTGTGGCGTAGATAGATGGTGGTAAGAGGTGGCGAAAAACCTGCCTGTTAGGCTTAATTGCTATTTGTTGGAAATGCCCCCGAGGAGAAATCCAAAAAAACCTTGAAGAATTATGATTTATGACACTGGAGTTTGAATACTTTTTAAGAGTTTGTGTTCTGTTTTATCTCGGTTCTAATGTAGATATGTTATGTTCAAATTTATGAAGACATGTAGGCTGGATTTAAATTTCTCGCCCTTCCTTTGAATTCCCCAACTACACCACTTATTTAATTACATCCATACCCCGGATGGACTCAAATACGAAAAACAGTGAAATCGTCATGCAGAATATACCGGCTACTGTTTTTAAAAAGGCCGTTTCAAGGAGATACTATCACAAAGAGGGGCGCCTTTAGTAAGGATATCACTATATATCTTCTAAATACTTTAAAAATCATTCCTGTCATCGACTTTTTAATGCCTAGGGAATCGGGGGTGACTAGCCAGAAAGTCATTTCCACCTTATTAAGAAATGATAAACGACAATATTAAAATCTTCCTACCTTTTTTCAGACCTTTCTAAAATTATATACTAGCTGCATTAATATACCCTCCCCCTTCTCCAAAAACTCGATCGTTCCCCTTTCTTAAGGCATTGCTTCACAATTAGTATGGCGTCAACGTACCTGATGTCTTTCCTCCTGTCTTTACAGGAATCAAGGAGACCGCAATGCATGACATCCCGGATATAAACATGGGAATTAAAACAGTCTTCTTTCGTCCGATTCTGTAGAGAGAAAGTGCAGTGCGTAAGTCATTTTAGTTAACATCTAGTATGCCTACTATGGAGAAGTAAGGTTCAAGGTGGGACCTCTCCAAAACGTCTTGTTAGAAGCAGCAAAAGTGGTTTTTTAAAAGCACAGTTGTCTGAGATTTATTTTAAAGAAGCAAGAACGTTTCCTAGAAGAATTTTCAATTCGTAAGAGACATAAATCGTTAAAAAACGCTCCGTTATGAAGAATTCAAACATAGCATTTTAAAAGGGTGACAAAAAAATCGTGTTTTGTGTATAATGCATTATTCTGAAGTCAAAAGAAGCCACAGGTACCACAAAATTTGAAGACAGCATGGAAAAGTGGGAACATCGCATTCTAAAGCATTTTTGATCCACCACTTCTAAGAGTGTAAACGGTCGGATGATCACAAAAGGTTAGCAGAATGTTGTATCCAGATTACACTTAAGGGTGAAAATGGCCTGTTTGATCATGGTTTGATTGGTTTCTTCTTAGAGTGAAAAGTATTGCAATATGCTTTGTTCACGCTTTTGCATGCTTTCTTCAAAATATTCTAAACTCGAATTACAGCGAAAGAAACAGCTTACTTGTTGCAACAATATATCGCAAGTGTAGTTGCTGGCAAGTCGACCAGACTTGCGAGAATGTAGTCACGATACATGTTCCCGCTAAAGTCATCAGCACCAAAGGAAACGCCGAAAAAAACCAAGCCACCGACCACCCTGAAAGTAGAATTAATCGAATATTATTCTGAACAGCATAGCCTCCAACAGGGTGTGAACCAAAGTTTTCTATAAAGTGAAAAAGGCGTGAGCCTAAATTTGACGACGCAAGAAAAGAAAGACTGTAAGTTACTGAAGCGATGTAATCAAAATGATTATAACCAGAGAACGCTAATCGAAATGTTTGGCATTTGTAACTTTAGAGTAGCTTTAGCAGCTTTTTAGGATCGCAAAATATTGCTTTGTATTTGCAATCCAGTGGTCTTTATAATGGTAAATGCAAAAGTAAACGAAGAAACTGAAACATGAAATAACTGTGGTCAAAAGAAAATAAAACTTACAAAAATACACAGTCTTCGTGGTTGTATTGCTTAAAATGGCAGAAGAATGAGCCATATTTGACAAAAGCATAAAAGGATCAAGGCCTATTGCTTTTTATGATGAGCTAGTCGAAACAATTGTATACCATTTCCAAGTTATATGTAATTCCTTAAATGGAATGAGACAAGATAACACCTGGTTTACAAGACTGAAATGAGGCAAAGAGAACGGGGTTTCTTTGTTACTGCCATTAACCTCCTAATCAGTATTAAATGTTGCTACCGCTAACCGGCTCGGCATTGCTTCTTCGTCATCTGTTTGATAAAAACGTTGCCAACGATGCATGCCCGTAGAAGTATACTTACCAAGCACATCCTTGGATCAAACTCCTAATAGCGACTTTCTTAGGCTTGAATAGATGGAGATAATGTGTCAGCCCAGGCGAGCAGTCCATTGGAACTGGCTTCAATGTTATATCCGGCAGCTCTTTACCATTAAACTTGGCAATCCTTCGAAATATCGCAACCGCTTCGTCAGTTCTTCCATTTACATGAAGCCATCTTGTGGACTCCGGAATGAACCTTGCATTGAACAAAGAGTAAGCAATAAGGAATAAAGCAAACAGGAATGTGGGGTCGGAATCCTTCCAGGGCAAAAAATGTGAAACTGCACCATGTGGATTAAATAATTATTTTGTTCATACCCTAATTTGCAGAAGCTTTTGGTTGACAATAATTACAAAAATAGAGAATTGAGGCACATTAATTTATCAGGTAGCACAAAAATTAGCAGTTTTCTGACTTTAACCCATAACCCTTGGTGCAATAGTTGCAGCTGTCACAAAATATGCAAAAAAGCTTCTTAACGCATCCGCACTAGCTAATAAGGTCAGTTCATTCGTTACTTATGATTCCAAACTCTTAGCTTTTTTTAAGGTGCAATGATAACTAATTTAAACAGTTTGATAAGAACAGTAGCCTCAAAAGAAAAAGGAAGAACAAGCTGAGCTAGTGTAGAATGTAATTTCTAACAATGTTGTAAAATGTGTAAGAAGCAAGAAACGCAAGATATGCCGTCTGCCGGATTCTATGAACCTTGCAAAGAGTAATAATACGAATAATAGTCGAAAACAAAGCGACACAACGACGAGAATCCAACGTAGTTAAAGAGAATTTTAAAATAAATTAAATTTGATAAATACTAATATTGCGCCCTGGCATACAGAGCTTCATCAGAGTAAAATTATTAATGTTGTGAAGTCCCCTTGAAAGGTTTCAGTTAAAAAACGAGGAGCTTTTTGCCATCCAGGGGGACTTTTACAGTTAATTTTCAAACCTCAAGATCTCGAGAGGTTTTTAGAGACATTGTTAGGAACAGGGAATATATTTTGAAATGTTGTCGACGAAAAGGAGAACACATACACTTTTGGGACAGAAAATATCGCTCATAGACATTCAAACTAGTGTCAGTTATGGTATTGTCTTTCAGATTTTCAGCAGTCTGTTTTGGTTCCAAGACATCGGACCATTTGTTTCAAAATGTTTCCACATATTCAACTCAAAATCTAATGGTAAAAGTTCACAAAAATTTACTCACTTGAAAAATAAAAATGTAACAAAATATGGGGCTGTAACGACTATCATCAAAATCTTCCACGTTTGAACGAAGATTGCTATAACTCCAAGCAATACTACGCTGAGAGCAAACGAAACCAAAGGGAGATCCCAGCGAATGGACGCCATTTTGGGCCTACAAACTCTGAAATGAGCACAAACATCTGTATATGTGCTCCAGAAAGGAAAAAACCCATTAACGTGCGTGTTAGAATGTAGAACCAAAGGGTCGGAGAAAACGAAGTGATGAAGCCAATCACGACGAGTATCGCCATGGAAGGCAGCAGTGTTAACCTTCGTCCATACCTGAAAAAAAAAGAATTTAAGTTCAAGCTAAAAAGTGAGCAATCATATATTCGACCGTAAACATTTGTCTAAGAGAGAATGAATGCTCTTCACCTAGAAGCTTGTAAGGATTTACCACAAGCATGCCCACTGAGCTTCATTCTATTTAGAAACAACATACCTTAGTCCCTTCAAATTTCGCCTGCCTTTAATTTTCGCCCCGGAGGGGGCGGGAATTAAAGAGGGTGAACTATGAAAATATTTGATGGGGCGAAAATTAGAGGTAGCGAAAATTAAAGGGAACTTAAAAAATCTATTTTCTATAATAGAACCTTAGTCTTTAGGCCCTTTAAGAAAACTTCAAGTTACCATCTTTGCGCGCGTCAAATTTTCATCATGCGTTGATTGCTTTCATTGTTACAGTTCTCATCTAGTGACTTTCTGGAAAAATATCCATACTGAAGGTCATAAAAAAAACTTCTTAATCCTTAAAATTTTGACAAAGATGATAAACTTATGTCTTTTTAAGGGGCCTTACTGTAGTTCAAAATAAAATCCATTAATCTTCGATAACGATAATATTGTCCTCTCCAATGTCTGGAGGGTGATTTTGTTCTTCCATTTCCAAAGTGTTATCATCCTCAGGGCCATATTCGTCCAAATCATCAGCGGCCAATCTCTCCTCGCCTTCAGTTTGGTCAGAAGATACTATCATCTTCTCTGGCTCAATATAGTAGTCTTGCAGATATTCTTTCATTCGATTGAAGAGAGAACTTGGCGCCTTATCCTTTTTAACGATTAGTACAATCGGTATTTCGAGTTAGGAATTGGCGATCTTCTATACTTGTTGTCTCGTACACGACCTTCTAAAGCGCCTCCATAATTCAAGAAAAAATGGCAAAAGCGATCTTGGAAACCAAGTTTCCAAGCAAAAAAAGATTTTTCAGAGGCCCGAGTGTAGTTCCATGCAGCATGAACGTTCATTTCTTGGAAACTGATTAGGTCAAAGCTTTGAAATTTAAAGTTTTTGGGGGCGAAAATTGAAAGGAGCGAACTTGTGCACAAAAGGGAGCGAAAATTAAAGGGGCGAAAATTAAAGGGAGCCAAAATTGAAGGTAGGCTAAATTTGAAGGGACTAAGGTATCACATGACGGCTGTGGATCTGGTCCTTCAAGCTCTTGTTTGGCCTATGCGTAATTGGACTCGCTATAGTAAAAAATTCTTCAGCTGAATATGTCACATTCCGTGATGATTGGCTTAAAATTCATGTCGAACAATAATTATAATAATAATAATAATAATAATAAATTTATTTACAGTAGGCGGGTATAATATAGCTGTTTATGTACAATTTGTGTACAAGCGAACAATGTCGAGCAATTCAGACGGTGACGTTTTGCAGTGGACATGGGCTTGCTGCACATCTTCATTAGATTAATGATGAGAAGACAAAACTGTACTGAGGTTTTGCTTTTGAAGAAAGGATCTTTCGCACTGCCTCTAGCCCTACATCGGGATGTTTATATAATAGCTTTGGTTTGAAGATGGCACATTACATTAGCCTAACAGCAAACAACCACTTCACATACGAACTGCAGTGCGCACGAGTTTCCAAGCGGAGATCCGATTATTTTTGTCAAACTTGAAAAAGTATTCTCGATTTTCCACTGTGACAAATATAATGAGTTTTATGTTAAGTCAAAAATCGTGTAAAACCACTTAAAAAGGGGGTTTTACAAATGTGAGTTCGTAGGTCGTTCGCAGAAACGTACACGATAAATACGGCAAAAACTGTTATCCAATTCTCTATACACTTCTTCTGATTCATCAGTTCACGGCAAACGACTAAAAATATCTTAAATGGCTAACGGCGAAAATTTAACGGCAAACACAATTCTGCAAGCTAGCGACAAGGTACACTGAGTTCGACAAAGCTTACGGCAAGACTAACTATAAAGCCACCCCTTATATACCCTAAGCAGGCGCGCAACTACAGGGGGGGTCCTGGGGGTCTAGACCCCTGCCCTTTTTTCAAAAAGGGAAAGTGCCGTTTTTCTTGGAAAATTGCTTGAATATTTTTATCATCGCGCTAAAAAGAATGGTCATAAATGACACATTCCAGCGATGTAATGGACCTCGCAGAAATACAGGTAAATGATTCAGTCAGACTTTCATGTATTTGTTGGGTCGAACGTTATCATGTTATAGTAATAGAGCCTACGTTGAAACCCCAACTCTACAACGTGTTTAATGATGCGCTACGCATTGGTTTGAAGAAGAATGGTTCTAAGACTCAAAAACCTCTATGACCACTCGTAAAAAAGCTACAAGAAAGAAACCAACACATCAATCAAGCCTGTCCCATGGTCCATAAAATTTACAGGGTCATAGAGGACTTTTGCATGGAACGAGCGATTGTAGAGGAACTTTCGCGGACTGGTATTAGCAAGCAGTGAAGACGGCACAATAAGTTGATGTTCAACTGTTCCATTCCTTGTCAGTATTACAACCGAGCTGAAGTCGCGACTTGCAGACAAAAAACCAGCTGAACTCAAAGGTCGTGGACCTGCTCAACCTCCTCCCATCTGTAATGCGAAGCAAAGAATTAAATGTTCTTAAGGCCGTTCACATTTTCAAGAGCAAATTGACTTCGAATATGGAAGATGACGGGCTGCTTTTCAAAAGTGAGCTGGCACTGGGAAAAGGAGATGACAGCAGGGTCGCCGAGAGGAGGTAAATTGCCCCTCTCGGGGCTTGAGGTTTAGGGGGCATCATAAAGCAATGAACTCCGTTTTAACATGGAATTAATTATAGAAGTAAAAAAATACACTTAAAAAAGTAAATCGTTATGAACGAATAAATAAATTTAACCTATTCGTAAGGGCGTGGTCATAATTTTTTTGCTCGCTTCGCTCGCAAGAGACTTCGTCTTTTCAGTTCCCTCTCGGGCCTCCAAAACCTCTCGGCGGTCCTGGATGACAGACAGAAAGGGAAAGTCCGCTGAGATTGGAAAAACTGGACGAAGCAATCACAATATTTTTCTTTTGATCAGTTTTCTTTGCCTGGCGTACAATATTTACAGGTTTGCTAACTGCTCATATTTTCTGCGTATCCAAACAAATGCCCCGGTGGACCTTCGGCGTGCATGAAGTGCACCCTGGCATATCTTCTGTTTCTAAACGTGAAAATATAAAGCAGGCTATGACTGAATAAAGTTTTTTCTTAGTGCCCTTTTTGTGTCTTGGACCCCTGCCCTCTGAAATTCCTGGTTGCGCGCCTGCTAAGAATAATACAACCGCAGGATAGGCTGTCCGCCGGATTCTGTGAATCTTGCAATGAGATTTTAAAATGAAAGCTATACAGGAACAAAGCAATACGACGACGAGAATCCAATGTCACGAAATAAATTTTCAAAATAAATTAAATTTAAGAGTATACTAATGAATGGGAACCCATTGTTCTAACATAGCCCCCTCCTTTGAAAACAAGCCTCCTGGCTTGGTCTTCTTGTGGCGTTTCTTCTTCGCATTTATACAACATGCCTTGAAACTCTTTTCTTTTTGGTAATGAGAATAGTGGTGATGATGATCTGCACAGATGTGATGGGGCTAACAGTATATCGGTGATTGACGTCATTTCTTTGAATATCGTTGTCAGGGGCGTTTTGAAAATTTCTGCCTCGTCGAACTCTATTGTTTGGCCCAATTGCTCTTTCATCAAGTTAGCAAGCTCTTTTGTTATGTCTTCTAACTTGCGGAACAACTTGCCCAGAAGGGTTCAGTTGTGGTTTGGGTTGTCATTCTCGTCCGAATTTCGGCTTCAAAAACTGGGCCCATTTTTGCATTCACAGGCATAGAAGCTTTTCCTTGCAATGGTTGCTGCTTCAACGGGCGTCTTCTGCAATATTTGACCACGTGTCCCACTCTTTTGCAGTAATTGCAAATCGGCTGGTCGTCTGTGGTTCGCAGGTATCGATAAGTGCTCATCTTCTGTTCCTTCGGCTCGGCTGTCCTCACACGGGGTAACGAGGGGGTTTTACAAATGTGAGTTCGTAGGTCGTTCGCAGAAACGTACACGATAAATACGGCAAAAATTGTTATCCAATTCTCTATACACTTCTTCTAATTCATCAGTTCACGGCAAACGACTAAAAATATCTTAAATGGCTAACGGCGAAAATGTAACGGCAAACACAATTCTGCAAGCTAGCGACAAGGTACACTGAGTTCGACAAAGCTTACTGCAAGACTCAACCTAACTATAAAGCCACCCCTTATATACCCTAAGAATATTACAATTTACAGAAGCTGATGCAATTGCAGCGCAATGATGCAATTGTCATGTGATGTCCTGCAATGAATGGGAACCCTGTGTTCTAACAATCAGTTCGTCTAGGGCCTATCATTGGAAATGTAGTTAATTATTACTTAGTACAAAGACGACAACCTTGTGGTGAATTACATAACAGCGTAGGCATTATCGTGAAAAGTTGTTGCTCTTGCTTACCGATCTGATGTCCATCCCAGTACGATCGCACCGACAGCCCATGAGACAAAAACCAAAGATGTTGCCAAGTAGCTGTATACTTCAGTTTCGCAGTATAGGTCAAACTGTTGAAAATATGCTCCTTTGCTTACAGACTATTTGTGACTAAATAAGGCATAAACCATCGAATCAGCCCCCTGGAAAGCTTAATATTTTTGGCACTTTCGTAATTCAAGGGGGGCTCATTTGAGTAGAGGAGAGGGGCCTGTAAAAATCAACTGCAAGTTGTCATAAAAGGAACCGCTTTCGTAGCTTTTTCAATTTGTTCAAGATAATTTTGTTTGCAGTTATACTTGCTAACACTTTTTTAGGTATCCTACCAAAGTATACATCAAAGCATTAAAAAATATTTTAGTCCTCATCATTGATATTTTTATTGTCTTTTCGTCAATGCCTCGTTTTGTCTTAGCTTTTTCATTCCCCACTTTAATGTGCCATCACTCATTAGCTAGAATGGTGTATCTTTCCATTATATCTCATTCAAGCCCCCATGGGGGCTTATTTTGCCGTAAGGGTGGGGGCTTTTTTTGCCGTAAGGGTGGGGGATTTTTCGAGACGGGCTTATTCGAGGCAGGCTTATTCGAAACGATCATATACGAAGCGGGCTAAAGTGATGAAATCACAAAAAAATATTTTTAGAATTTTTAAATTTGGATCCCAAAACCTAGAAAAAGCATTATAACAAATCTCTGAATGTGCAAAATCAGTCAAATGTGTTTCAAATTGGCTGAGATATGGCCACATGTGCACTAAATGTGCTCTAGCTCTTTCACTATCAAACCCTTGTATTTTCGTCTTTGTTCATAACTTTTTGAATACGAAGTAGGAACAGAGCCAAAAGAACAATGATTGGTTAGCAAACGTCAAATCTTTCATTGGCCATATCTCACTCGATTTTAGACATATTTGGCTGATCTTGTATATTTAAAAGCATTTCATTGTGTTCTATTATGTTAAAATTGCTAGAATGTAGTTAGATTGAAAAAGTCTAAAAAATTTCACCTAGCCGCAAAACCCACTGCTTTGGATAACCAAATTTCTTCCAATTTTCCTCTTTAAAACACGCCTTTAACCATTGTTGCACTGCTCATTTTAGTAAAATTTTCTTGTGTGTTCCCAGTTATAATTTGTCTAGCGTGTATTGCAAGTTATGCAGACAATATTGTCAAAAAAAGTTGATTTTATTTATCGAAATTGTACTGATTGTCAATACGGGGCCGCAAAGTAGCAAGGCATACCTGAGTCATGATTGAATATTCCTTCGGCTTTGTGAATTGCCATTCTGACCTCGGCATTTTGCATCTCTCTTTGTAAAACTTACTCTGTGTATCGTATGTGCCATTTAGACGACAAACTGTGCTGTTGGCGATGCACATCCAGGGAGGGTTGTGTTGCGCAAAATATGGTATGAGTATAAGCATTGACCCTGGGAAGACCATTATACAAAATGCTATTTCAAGAAGAATCTGAAACTTTCCGAACTCACCAATTAAAGGCAAAACGTCATCAATGCTCAATGGTTCCGTCGGGATATTGGATGGTGTGGCCATTTCGAGTTGATTTTGAGTAACGAGTTGCGTTTAGCGGGCAGTGTAGAGCGTCGAGATAACTCCCAAACTCTGCTTGTAGTAGTTTCAAAACTCTAACATGGATAGCGGTTTTCAGCCAGTTTTTGGTTAATTAGTTTACGGTTCATCTGTTGTTGCATTGTATTGTGTTGTTGCAATGTAACTTTGTTATTTATCCGACAGTCTCGTTCCACAGGCCTAGTCTCCAGACGAAATTCTTTTATTTTATATAAAAGGGAGTCTGGTACCCAGGGTACCAACGATAATGAAGAGAATTAAAAATATGAAGTTATAGCCTATGAAGTTAGATCCTGGACAAAAATACGAGTCGTGGTTTCGGCACCTTACCACTGTGTTTCGTGGATTCTATGAGTCGTTTTAGACATTCGATGCACCGAATCGCTTCACGACAACGTTGTTCAGCGCGTTAGTCCCCTTGCTTTTAGACGAGTCGACGCACTGTATTGCACCTATGACGACTCGACGCACAAGTCGACGACTCGACGCACAAGTCGACGACTCGACGCACAAGTCGACGACTCGACGCACAAGTCGACCACGCGACGCACTCCCACTATTTTAACCTGTCTTAACGTCGAGGCGTCGACCTCGTATTGGCGAAGACGAAATTCAACATGGAAGCCCAAAACACAGAAATTTTGATGAGCTCCTTCGGACAGCAATACAGTTAGTATTGGATTGAATGGAGCAAGGAATTCACGAGAATCCAGAAGGCTGTGATTTTCTATGTACCCACATGGATAGGCTATTATATATTTTAGCACAAGTGAATTTATTTTTCTGTAATTATATCCCACCAGAAATTGAGAATAGTTTGCAGATAGCAAGAGAGACATTCGCATCCTCAGGAGATATTGAACACGGGCAAGTTTTTGAAAACACTGGAAGTCGAGGTCGCCCTACTTTACTAATTTCCAAGGATTCTTTAGAAATATATCTAAGTTATGGAGACATGACTCTGGAAACTACTAGTTGCTCTACTACCGCTGGAGGCACCCGGCCTAGGGCCTACGGGGGCAAAATTTGCTGCAGTCTGTTATGATGCTGCTGCTGATGCGTGCATCGTCGTGACTATTGTACGTGTATCAGTTGAATTCGTGGGCACATTTGATATTGAATCGATACGTTGCAAAGCATTCTGAAGGATGCTTCTAATTTTTTCTCCATCTCGTCTTCTTGCTACATTTGGCGGAAATTCACAATGATATGGAAGGTTTCTTCGCCAAAACGAGGTCGACGCCTCGACGCATGAGGTTAAGATAGTGGGAATGCGCCGAGTCGTCGAGTTGTTGGTCGAGTCGTCGACTCGTCTAAAAGCAAGGGGACTAACGCGCTGAACAACGTTGTCGTGCAGCGATTCGCTGCATCGAATGACTAAAACGACTCATAGAATCCGCGAAACACAGTGGTGAGGTGCCGAAACCACGATTCGATATTTTTGTCCAGGATCTAACTTCATAGAAAATAAGACGAACCGAACTACTCGAATAAAACATGTTATACCAATTATACCATAAGAAAATTAGTCGGAAATCTTGCTACAGACTTATTTTCTACGTAAAAATCTCAATGGCTAAATAGTTTCCCCATTTTTTAAATTCTGCTTGCAGTATAACGGAAGTTTTATCGTGTTCTGTTTTCGCCGAGTATCGAGCTGGGATAACCAAACTGACTTCGCGTTTCGTTTACCAGCGATTTGGGCGTTTATTGAGTTGTCTCCTTGCTGATTTAGGAAAAAAATCCAGCACCCTTGACCATTGTGATTAATGCTCCATCTGCTTTATTTACACCCTCAATGCTTCTTCGCGATTATCTTTCTTGATTGAAAGAGACTCATTCAGTCTTCAACTTAGCCGCCTTTGTAATTTGTTGCCCCCTTAGTGCTGCACTGAACTTTACCTTTTATTTCATAGTGAAACTGAAATCTATCGGTGTAGCACGAGCTATTTTTTGCAAGATGAAACGAGTTGTTGCTTATTATAATTGAACCTTGATTCTGGTTCACGTCCGGAAGACTAGTTGCCATGGAACCATCCCTCTCGTTACCCTATCACAGTGACCTGAGCCCCACTTCCCACCGGGCCAACAAACAGATAGGGGCCCCAATAATTATTCGAAAGTTTTATATGGTACCATAGGGTTTCTCTTGCTCGAGCTTCTTATCAGTGCACAAATGCACAACCTTAACGTGAGCGAACTTAAAAAATTGATATGTATGATTCCATCTTTTACGAACTGAAAAATGGCACCCAACTTAACGAAAGAAGACCTCTTCACAACCTAATACATCTATCAAGCAATGTAAAATTATTAAATGTCTTTGCCAAAATCTTTATACAATATACAACAACAGGTCCGTCGGAACCGGGGAGCTGGAGGGACTTATATTTGTCAAACTGTAGCATATTTTCTTCATAACAGTGTATTGAATGAGAGGGAATACAATGGGAAGCCATCCAAATATGAATTTCGTTCCGACGGTACTGTACAAACTTTTACATTAGCACTTATTTTACGAATGGAATTGAAAGAGCAGAGTTTTTGCAACCACGCCCTTCTTTTACATAAAGATCAATGTAAATAATATAAAACAGTTTTAAAAAGGCTTCAAGTACTTTGCTATTAGACAAGACAATACCTTGCTATTCGAAAACATCGGAAACGTGGACGCTATTCGAGACATTTTTTATTATATTAGGAAAATAACCTAGATTTCATAGGAAATGGCAAAGAGAAAGAAAATATTTAAAATCATTCAAAAAGTATTAAGGGATGAAATTGTACAATCTGCTGACAGATGAAGCGAAAAGCGATGATATGGTCAACGAAAATATTGAAGCAGACTGTAAAATGTTCGTTCAAGAAGCACAAAATGGTGAAGCACCCTACGAGGTTTTCGCTAGAAATAATTTCAGCATTAATGTCAATGTGACATGCCCCTGCCCCTTTCATGGTTATGTTCAGCAGAGATGTGATGAAAATCCAGTTATTGGACATGTGCTAAATCAATCAAATCTGTTACATATTGGCTAGTGGAAACCTCAAGACATTGCAAGTAAACTAGGGATAAGTTGAACGCCCGAAGTTTACAAGCAGGACTACAGTTGTTAAGATTAGGTTCATGAATCTCAGAAGCAAGGCCAGTTGGCATAAAACTAGGGACACAGGCGATGAAAATATGCTTCCTTCATCTCTGAGCAGCATTAGGGCAGCAGCGGAAGCAAATATCTTGACAGAAATACCACGAGCATTTAAAAAGAAGAGAAACATTGAAGTTTCTGGTTGAAGAATTCCTACCATGAGAAGTTTAATATAGAAATAGAACCCCCTAAAATTTGTGATGTCATTAATAAGAAACTTTTAAGAAACGAACATTGGAACAGCGTTAAGAAACTTGAGCACTCAACCCCCTTAACGTTATAACGCCCCACTTGTTTTTACCCTTGACGCTCTGGGACCCAGGGTATCAACGTTAAAAAGATTAATCATGTTTTAATTAACATTCAGGCTGTATTAATGATCCAATTGCAAAATCGTTTGAGTAGATTTTGGTGACGTCATTACCTGGCAACCCTGAAATGTAAGGCACTTTGGTTAGTGGTTTTTCTAGTTATGTGTTCTATAATATTATCAAGAAACGAACGGGACAGGTTAATGCAATAAATCAACATATCTAATTAAAAGTTCTGGCAAAATAAACGTCTAACAAGAAAAAAGGGTTTTGTTATAAATTGTCCAATCATTCGAGTTGCACTTCTTGGTGCAGTCTCTATTCTATCAGGGCTCATATGTTTCGTCTCCTCCCAGCCATATTCAAGTTTACGAGAGCGTGCCGGGTAGCCGGAGAGTTAATTGGCTAGATGTCATCAATACTGCATATTCCTAATAATATTGAGTTTTGCAGATGAAAGACGTTCGTAATTGTAATTTTGTAAAAAATGTTCTAAATAGATTGAAATTTTGATTGGTGATTCTCCAGAAAACTCTACTGTTTTTCAATACGCAGTGTTCACATTGCGCTGTTTGTTTTGTTATTGACATCGAGTTTTCATTCTACATTTGCTTTGCAACAAATAGATAACGACTAACATTCATTATACACAAACTTAATGTTATGTACGCAAACATCTTATGGCAAGGCACCCCAGTGGCCCTCAGCATCTCTATATCTGGCGGACAAAATACACCATGACGTAATGTATTTTGAAATTGCACGTGGTGGTGCAATGACTGGTGTGACATCGAAATCAAATTATTATCCGCTCCAGATCCTTGACTTTATCAGAAGTAAGGGTAAATCTCGTTGCACCATTGAATTGTTACGCAACATAAAAGAGGCTTACCTCGTGGCCACAAGACAAAACAACTTGCATTATTGTGTCTAGTCTGTGGTCGCTGGAAGTATGGCTGCAGCAGCATGCTCGCGGGACAAGGACTCGATTGCCTGGTTGTCAAAGAAAGAAGATGAGGGCACACAAGAAGGTATGCTTTCAAGTAGCGATTTACTTCTTAAACCGTGAAGGGGGGCGGACATGAAGAATCCGGAAAGGTACCATGTTTTGTACCTATTTATCGAATCTCGCCTTCTCTTTGCTCGGCTCGTTTCTAACCCCTTGATAACGAGTACATGCTCGAAACGTCGTGTTTTTAACAATCGAACTATTCTATTTTCATTTTGGTACTAAATTGACTTGCTAACTATATTATCGTTTGACCTGTAATTTGTTGATGCAGTCAAAAAGTCCTCGACGTGTACTGTATGACACGAGGTATTAATCAGATTTTCCGAACCAGATTCTTCATCTTCGCCGGATTATATTCTCAAAAATATAAAATCACCTTATGTGATATAGGCCATAGGCCTAAATATAAGTTTTATCTCGTCGTTCAAAAATTGTGTCCCTCATAAAACCTCAGCAGGAGCAAAGCTTGAGAGCCATGTTACAGCTCAATTGCAACTCGATACTCAGCGCCTCTAACAACTGAGCCATCCTCGCACCCAAGGAATGCCCCAAGGGAATGTCCTCTGTCCCATTCTATTTCTTTGTTATATCAGCGTTCTGTCAGTCATTTAGGAAACAGTGAGAGTTTTGCAGATGATACAAAAGTTTACTCAGAAGTTTACAATACCAGAAGCTTGAGAGCCATGTTACAGCTCAATTGCAACTCGATAGTCAGCGCCACTAACAACTGAACCATCCTCGCACCCAAGGAATGCCCCAAGGGCATGTCCTCTGTCCAATTCTTTTTCTTAGTTATATCAGCGTTCTGTCGGTCATTTAGGAAACAGTGAGAGTTTTGCAGATGATACAAAAGTTTACTCAGAAGTTTACAATACCAGAAGCTTGAGAGCCATGTAACAGCTCAATTGCAACTCGATAGTCAGCGCCACTAACAACTGAACCATCCTCGCACCCAAGGAATGCCCCAAGGGCATGTCCTCTGTCCAATTCTTTTTCTTAGTTATATCAGCGTTCTGTCGGTCATTTAGGAAACAGTGAGAGTTTTGCAGATGATACAAAAGTTTACTCAGAAGTTTACAATACCAGAAGCTTGAGAGCCATGTAACAGCTCAATTGCAACTCGATAGTCAGCGCCACTAACAACTGAACCATCCTCGCACCCAAGGAATGCCCCAAGGGCATGTCCTCTGTCCAATTCTTTTTCTTAGTTATATCAGCGTTCTGTCGGTCATTTAGGAAACAGTGAGAGTTTTGCAGATGATACAAAAGTTTACTCAGAAGTTTACAATACCAAGGACTGAAAAACTTCTCACAACCAATGACTAATCTCACAGAAGTCAGTGGCTGAAGAGAGAAATGGGGACTAAATTTTCATCCACAAAATGTAAAATATTGCAAATTAGGAAGAATAACCCCCAGTGTGATTACTACATGATAGTCTCCAATGGCAATAAAGTAGATTTAGGCATAGAACATTGTTGTGACCTTGTTGTGACCACAAAAAGTAAGCTCAATTTTAGACAGCATGCTGACTGGATTGTCTCAAAAGCAAACCAAATTTGGGCCTTATAAGACAATCTTTTAGTTACATTGATAAAAGGTCCTCTCTATCTAAATCACTAGTAAGAACATTACTCAAGTATAACAACAGTCTTGTGTCCATGCTTTAATACCATCAAAACAAAAATTTAATCAGTGCAAAGACAATAACAAAAATAATCCATGGATTAAAAAAATTAAGCTACCTTGATTGTATGCAGTTTGTCAAATTACCAACACCTGTTCTTGGTTGCTTGCAAGGTGACATTATAAGTATATAAGTACCTTAATGGACTATTTGGAATGTATACCATCAGGACATCTTTGGGTGGTATTAAAGGTGCTAGTCTGATATCATTTTATCAAAGAAAGGGTACTTTGATTCTCTAAGATTGCAAGAAATTTCTTTTGCTTTGAAAATTCCTTTGACATGAGCCTCCGAAAACTAATATCACTGCCCCATAATTCCTTGTTTGTTGTGGCCTGCATGATATAAATTTCTTCTGTTGAGCTATGGTAAAAGAATGGGTGAACAGCTAAGAACAGTTAAGGTATTTGTTTTTCCTTTCTAATACTATGAGGGCCACATTCAGCGGAAGAGACAGTGTACAGAGCCTCAGCTTATAGAAAAAACCTCACAGAGCCTCAGCTTATAGACGGTGGACAGAGCCTCAGCATATTTTGTAGGCGTGTTTACTATAACAGGAAATAACAAGAAACAACAAGAAACGAATACAAACGAGAACAAACGATAAGGAAACAACATGAAACGATTTGTGACTTTGCAGAAACGACTAGATCTCCAAAACAAGACAAGCTTATCCATCCACGTGGGCATTGTCATCTTTGTTGCAGTGGCCTAAGTGTTCGGTCATGTTGTTCTTCACCGCAAAAGCTGTTGTCTTAGATGAGGTTATGGAAACCCAGTGATAATGCTTACTTATGTTTCTACAACGCTAACTTTAGCAAAAGAAACAGGAACTAAAAGAACAAACTCCAATATACTAGAGGAACAAGCTGTATAGGTTGACAATCTACTTCTTGAACAATTTTTTGTTTGGGAGCCTAACCCTAAAGCCTCTATAAAATTTCAGTAAGTTCCTAAAGCAGTTGAATTCAAGAGGGGGGGGAGGCTTGATTATTAGCCAAGAATTTAAATTGCTTTATTTCGACCTTCCTGGTAGTTGGTCCATGTTAATCCCAATGCCAGTGAGATTTGCTCTTACAATTGCTGCTCTTACAATATCAGGCTTTCATAGTTTAATTCCTTTTACAAAAATACCATATCTACATCTACTAACATAGCTATTAATGCAGGATTTCCACTAAATAAATAAAATTGTGCTGCAGTTAAAATTTTTCCAAGTTGTTTCTACTTGTTTCCTAGTTGTTTCTACTTGTTTCTACTTGTTTCCTAGTCGTTTCTACTCATTTCCCGTTATAGTAACCACGATTTTGTAGGTCCCATCCTTAATCAAAACCTAGATGGATGAACTATATTACCACATGAACATCATTATTTGGAGGGGGGCAATAGAGGCAGTGCCTTCAAATGATTTGTAAAATATGATATTGCCGAAAGTTATTTAAAACTGAACTGACCTGAACTGAACTAAACTGAACTAAACCATCATTTTGAAAAGCTCATTTTTTCCACCTCCCTAAATCAAAACATATAAGCTCCAGCCTTGTTAAACAGTTTTACGACCTTGAGTGGGGGCCTTCCTATGTCTTAATTTCAGAGGCTAATACCAATACTTTTATACTGCCAGTCGCCCCTGTATACCATTCTAGCCGATTTTTCCAGAAACTTCAAGTTCAGTTAGGTACCATACTCCCTGGTCATAAAAGAATGACCTCTTTACCAATACATAATTTTTTTAGCTTGATTCATGTAAAACTCAGTTTCCTTCACTAATGCATATTTTTATTTTCAGAAAAAGTGGATGGACAAAGAATAACATCTGTATCTGGTTGCTGCAATAAACTGACAAGGAGGCTTTTACCTCCTCATATCAGAACAGAATCAAAGGCCTTGTTAAAACTGGCATGGGGAATATCTCTGAATTCATTTCTTACATTTTTCATACCTGTCTCTTCAGTGCTTATTGTTGGGCACAAGGGAAATGTTTACCTTGCTGCACTAGGACTTGGCTTGTCAGTATGTAATGTGACAGGAAATGTCTTTGTGGCTGGACTGACATCAGTGACAGAAACATTGTGCTCCCAAGCATATGGTGCTGGACAATACAAGCGATTTGGAGTTGTGATACAAAGATCCCTGATCCTTACATTCTTAGCAGTTCTTCCATCATGTGCCCTGTGGATAAATTTAGACAAGATACTTGTGCTCCTAGGACAAGACAAAGAAGTTGCTTTGTATGTCACTGACAGATGTACTAAGTGTCATTTTTATCAGTAATTTTAGTTGTAACAAAACATTTGCTATTGATCATAGGCACCGACTTTAAGTTTTCCCAGAAGTGGCTCAAAATTTATAATGTAATATTTGTCGTGAAAAAGGGGCTCATATTGTTTGCAAGGTGCTTCTAATTAATTTTGTTCCCAATTTTTTTAACAGTTTAAGAATGTTTTGTTAACAGAGAGACTTCTAGAATATCTTTTTTGATTTCACTGTAGAAAATATGCTTGATTTTGCTGTCTATCAAAATCTGTTTTGCAGCAAAATTCTCCAGCTGTGCTCTATGAAAGCTGCCAGTGGAGTTGATCTTGGTAGTATGTGTAGAGCATATTTTATGTTATTCAATGTTATAGACAGAACTGTAGTTAGCATATAAAAGTTCCACTATATGGGATCCAATATAAACTTTTTTGTTTGACCCACCTTTCTCTAGAATAAATTCAAAAGATGCCTTTCTCATCAATACCAAGAGCAAAATACACCTTGAACCCTGTGCGAAATTAGCCACAGAGCACACCGGGCACTGTGCCCATGGCCACTAGGGTAATGCAAGCCCCACTGATTTAATGTCTTATGATCAATTTAAAAATTTTGGACAAATATATTCTACTTCAGGCCCTGTCTACAACTATAGCTATTATTCCATTATCGTACAGACATTCACATAAGGACCCCAATTATATTATTTGCCCAGGGACTTAAAATTCTTCATGCAGCCCTCAGTGGTGTCACCACAGGGTAGCTGGGGTGGACATGTCCACCACAGTTTTCCCAGAAGTCAATTGAGGGCTGATCAGATCTATTTTCACACTGGAAAAAGAGCCACCGATACGAAAAAATGCTTCTTGAGAAAGTTGCTTGTCCAAAAGTTTCAAAGTAGTTAAGAAATACTGAAAAAAGGATTTTCCAAGAGTCTGAAGGGCGTGGCCAAGAAAATTTGTTTTTGTCCACCCCAGTTTTTTAGAGCCAGTGACGCCACTGACAGCCCTCTTTGAACCACAAAATTTGCAACTTAGAATCATCTTCTTCTACATCTCAAAGTCTTTAAACACTTGTAATGAAATTCTCAATTCACTTTGCCAGAAAATGGCATTGGTCATTTTAGATGTATTACCTATCAGTATTAATTTGTTTAATTCATTTTTCTAGACTTGCTAGTTACTATGGGATTTGCTTCATTCCTGGTTTACTGGTAAGCCATAACCTTTATTTTTTTATCTAATGTTATCATTTTTTCAATAAACTCTCATTGCAGTTGAACTGTTGGTAATTGTAATGGAATGAATGGTATAGCAAAGCACCCAAAATATTTGCCAGCAGCATTTTATGATACTTATTTTCGTTTCATTTTGGTCCAATTTTTTTGCAACCATGAATTTTTTTTTCTTATAGTGTCTCATACTGTTCAATACACTGACAAGGTTTTTGGCTTGCCAGGCAAGTAATTTTACTTTTAGTCCTTTCAAACACCATATGCTTAGACAAATTATCAGTTTACCTTTCCTTTATTTTAAAATCATTGAGTTTTGCGCTTGGATTCATTCTATTGTTTCTTGACCTTGTGTGTTATTTAGGTACTTTTTACCTTTATGTTTCATTACAACAAAACATATATCAAAGGCAGTGTGGCATTTTGATAGATAGAGGGCTGATCAGATCGATTTCGATTTTCACACTGGAAAAAGAGCCACCGTTACGAAAAATGCTTCTTGAGAAAGTTGCTTGTCGAAAAGTTTCAAAGTAGATAAGAAATACTGAAAAAAAGGATTTTAAATGTCAATAAATGCTTTGGAATGTTGCTTGAATGGATTAAACATAGCATGGTAGTAATCTAATAGCAACTGTGTGTACCAGCCTACATAATCTTGTCCAACCCTTGTATAGACGAAGAGTTTATTTTCTCTCTTGGACTCTTAAATTAGGTGAGAGGTTAGCGGTCGCTGATTGGTAAAACAAGACAACCAATCAAATGCGTCTTTCTTCCGATAATAACCAATCAAACACGTCTTTTTTTCTCTCACATTATCCGACGTTTATACCCTGAAGAGTGTCAGGCGAAAATTTCTTTAGTATGCTACGTTTCCGGTATTTCGTACAATCTTCGAGTTTTGCCGTACCAAAAACGTACCTAGAAAAAAGTAAGTTCGCGAAGTCTGCGATATCCGGATTTCAGACTTGGCTTAACCTGAATTCATCTGTACCAACCTGAACCAAACCACACACTTAAAGCCTGAACCCACAACAGCACAGGTGTCAACTCTTCATTGGCTGCAATAGGAATCACCAAAGCATGACTCCCCGTCAAATTTAGCTAAATCAAGTTGTGAGAAATGAGGGAGGATCTTCTTACATCTTATTGCAAATTTGTCCTTGAAGCACTATATTCACATGCTGTTGCTCATTTTAATGTCATATACCGGCTAGAATAGATTTTTAATAGTATGAGATTCAAAAAATTACTTCTCAGAGATATATCTAAGCTGTAAATCTGGTATACAATTTATAGAATTA